AAAATATTATACTTACAAACCCGATTTGAGTTGATTTGGAGATTGAAATTTTTTATAAAGAATTTTAAAGAACAATGCAATGTAAAAAAAATTATTTGCAATTCATGGTAACATTAAATAGAAAACCTCATTGTGCAAACATTTCTGTTTGCTGTAATTCTTCAGCACTTTGTTTGTGGTTAAACGAAGTTGCTTCAAACACATTATCGAGTTCATCATTGATTATAGTGTATTTTTCCATCAGATTTATCAATGAATTGTTCATTTATTATAGTATGCATATCAATTTGCAAACTGTTGTTTTTGTATATTCAATCGTGATTCATATATCTCTTTAGATTGTATCTCGATTTTGTTGTCAATACTCTTCGCTTTTTTCAGACAAGTGTAGAAGCTAAAAGATAAAGGATCTCTCTAAAATTATACATAATGGAATACCTGTATAGAAATTATGTGCATGCATTGTTCAATATCTGTATTTGTATATATATATTCAATATTTGTCTAGATTTGAATGTAACTAGTATACCAAATCTTTTACCAGTACATAAAATGATATTGATTCCTACACAGTTTCGTTCAAATTAAAATTAATATGTGATATAGAAAATAATTACTGTATTTGTCGTGGCATTCATAGACTTCCTCTGGATTGTATTCAAATCATCTATTCCAGAGTAAACAGTTTCCAGAAATCTGCTATGATTTGAAAGTTTCGACAAAATTTCTACATCGTTTTCTAAAAAAGTATTTCTTTTTCAATAATTCATAATTCATTTTATCATTTATAATTCTGCAGTAATATGCAAGTACTTCATGTGAAGTGACATACCTTACTTGTGGAAATAATCTTAACAACATAAAAAATCTCAGACTTAATGGAGCATTATAAAAAATTGTAATCCGAACAAATAGTTGTTTTATTATTGCATTATGGTTTTTCTTTTTGGAACTAATGCCACATACTTTCATTATTTTCTTGCTTCTCTATCCAAATTCGTCTCTATGACCTTCAAGTTGTCTTCCATTTCCTCCATTCTTACTGATGAATTCAACCATGAATTCCTTCATTCTCTAAGAGAAGTATTATTTCATTTCAATTCAATTTCCAGGAATTAATGAATTATATTTGTGGCAAACTTCATACACAGCCCAATAAAAGCTGATGCATTTAACATTAATATCAAAAAATGACTTTTTGCAAATTTTGTTATAAAAGTTATGAAATAACACCCAACTTATATATAGAGAATAATATGCTGAGAAAGGGACCTCAAAAGTCTAACAGCTTCCATCACAAATGTTTATTGGTATTTTGAGAATATTGTGGGTTTATTTTTTTCTAGTGTATTTCCAACACTACTCTGGCACTAATCTAAAATATCAGCTTTATTAGGCATCTCATCAACGCATCTTATCACTGTATTAGAATTACATTATCTTGGGTTTATTTCAATTACATTTCTTTTTTACGTTTTGTGCATTTGCTAAAAATAAGATTTGCTCTTAAACCAAAGTAAGCTACAAAGCAAAAAACATCTTACTTCAAATTTAGTAATTGTCACATTATTTGAATTTGAGTAATTGCTTTCCCACTTTGTCATTTGTTGATACTTGATTGAAAATTTGTATGAATTGTTCATTGAAGACTAGCAGAATCTTCACTTATATGCTCCAAAGATTTATTATGATGGTTTATTCTAAAATATTACCGGTATGTAATTAAAACAAAATTGTTTAATAAAAAAGGTAACTGAAATTCTAATGTAATATACTAACATATGTGACAAAGAAAAAAAAGTAATACCATTTTATTACAGTTGTAAAAAAAGAAAAAGAAAAAGTAATGTTTCTATGCTCCAGGAAAATTGAAAATAAAAGATTTCATCAAACAAATACATCATAATAAAACATATCAATTGCTTCTTAGTAAACTTATCAAAATTTATGATGAACATATGTAATAAAATTTCAATGACCAAAGATATTAGGCATTGACCAATTTCAATCTTACTTAAAAAATATGAACTTGCCTTTCCAAAATCTTGATTTCAGATTCATGTATTGCAGTGAAGGCATCACTCAAAATGTTTTGATCTGAAACTCTGATCATCTTTGAAAGTGTTTCAAAACCATCAGCATATTTTGCACTAGACTCATTGATGAATATGAGAGTTTTCATGAATTGTTTAGAATGTGATTCAATTTGCTTCTCATTATCAAGAGCTTTGTTAAGTACAAGATTTGCCTGAAACACAATATATTACCAAGTTACCCAAAATAAAATATTTTGAGAACATATCATGAAAGAAAAAGATGGCGTCTAATATCATTCTGTCCAATAACTGAATGAAAAACCAAGACATTTAGGGTGTATATTCAATGGCCTTTATTTATTAATAACCATTTCGTATTATATCTGTTCTAATATAATCCTGTCCAATAATTGAATGGAGGCAATAAGACCTTCAGGTTGTATATTTAATGTTCATTTTTAATCATATTGAAAATATGACATTTTAATTTTGACACCATTTTAGTTGCATCTTCTTCTTTGACTGTCTGTTCAATATCAAATCGATTCATTCTTCTGTCAACAAATCCTAAAAGTTGAGTATTTTTCTGTATATCCATCAACATCCCTTCGATAGAACTTCTTTGCAATATAAATTTTTCATCTAATAACCCTATTGTCTCATTTTGCCTTCTTTCACCTCGGTGCCTATGTTTTTCCGTTTCAACAAATTCAGTACGAAAGTGTGTGAAATTGTATGTCAAGTTTTTCACAAAATCATCCAGTGACTGAAATTTTCAAAATGTAGAAATATATAACTCATAATCTATCAAAAATGAATGTCAGAATTTATTTCAGTACCTTCATTATATCCATACTTAAAAAAATGAAATAACAGGATAAGTAACATTACAAGTTATACTTCAAGTTTGATGAGCAAAATAACATTTATTTAAATTGATAACTATTGAAAGTGACCATTTGATAAACTACAGTACATAAAAAAACATACTTTCCATTTCTGTGATGATGCTTCATAGTTGAACTGTATACCTCCAATATCACTTTGTGTATCATCCAATCTCTTTGTCAAGTTAGATAATTTGAAGTGAAACAATGACGATTCATCATTGAGGTGCATCAACTTTTCCCCATATTCGTTTATTCTTAAATGTTTGAATTAAATAAGCAAACAGTGAAAACAGGTTTTCATTGATGAAAACCTAAATATGTCTATGTGTATGCTTGTCTAGGTTAGTGAATTGTGAAACACCTTATAAACATGAGATGATGATAAAAAAAAATTATTAAACTTTATTCTCTCATAAATTATTATAAAATGACTGCAAACTGCTTATGGCCACCACCACCGTCTCGTGGAATCCAGACACAAATTATTTTAGGTTTCATATATTATGTACTAATATCATTAAATATTTAGGATTTACATATTTATCCTGGGAGAGAGGATAAACATAGCCTCTCGACCAGTTAGCAGTCAATGTTGGAGTTTTTCAGTCAGTTATTTGTTTTCAGATGCATGAACTTGATGGTGGAGGAAGCCGCAAACAAACCCATCCCAGCGAAGAGGGCGAAGAGGGTAATTGGAGGTGCGTGCGGTGGCAAGCGTATTCCTAACGCTTAGCATGATGCGCCACACTGCTTAGAGGCACACCTATAACATACCTAGTAGTGGCATTTTCTTGGATTTTTTCCAGTTTATCCAAGGTGAATTCTTGAACTTTCTCACAAGTAATAATATTAGATTTATTTAATTTATCCATATCTGAAATAAATTTTAAATTTGCTTTTTCAATGGCAATAACTAAATCTGATATGTTCCAATGATTGACACTAATACTATTCCAGTTGTTATCCACTCTTTCCAAAATACTTGAGATCTGAAACAAGAAATGTCTTGTATAGTTATTCTCAATATTCGAGAACTATTTTGTTATTAATTGACATTGGTTGATAACTGATATCTGTAGTTCATGATAATTCACAAGCCAACCACACATGCAGGACTACACAAAAAATAGAAGCAAATTCGACCTTTACAATGGTTCTTCGCGTATTTTGTCATAAATTCATTTCATTATATATTTGTCTGCAGAAGCCAGTTTGGTTAGGGGAAGGTAGTCAAAAAATAGAACAAATTAAATTTGGCACTGACGAATATTGATGCAAGATGCATTTAACTAATTAGTGTAATTAAATTATCTGGTTTTCAAAAGTTTATTTTCGAAATTGGGGTGAAGTAAACTCAATAAGAAAAGATACTAATCAGCAATTACAATAAAAGTTAAAACAATACCGTTTTGGCAAACCGTTCTTCACTATTTTTCTGTTCTCTTGCAATATCTTCAACTTTATGACTAATAGTTGTCAAGGCAAGATCATTACTGCTAATGTTGTTTCGAATATTGAGAACATTTTGTTCATGAACAATATTTCTGATTCTTAAGTCATTGATAGTTTTGTTATGATTTTCCAAACTATTCACAACAAAATCATCCATCTGCTTCATTAATGTTATGTTCATGAAGATATCCATATCTATTTTTTTGAATTCCTGAATGCATAGAAACATACCGGTAAGTCATATTTCTTCTTATGTAGACTAATGATCATATACATAATTAGTATCACATAATAATTATTCATCTTAATCAGTGGTGTTCAAGCGAGGTTCTGTGGCACCCTAGGGTTCCGCCAGTACAGTCTGCGAGTTCCAATATTTTTGTATAATTTGTATCTATTTGGTTTGTATTTATTATCATTATATTGCCATTACTATACTTGCTACAGTTTGAAGATCATTTTGTTTTCCAGTATTAGATTTTCTCTCATAGATATTCATAGCTTATGCAATTCAAACAATAAAACACAGTTAAATTATTGTACAGTGGTTCCTCAAGCTTTCATTGGGGGTTCTTCCCACCAAAAAGTCTTGTTTACATCTAATAACCTGCTAGTCACAGATATGATCTTCAGAGACAAGTAAAGATGCTAAAAAGGGATTCTAATTTTTCAAATGATACTATGATGGTTATTAGATAAACCCAATGAAATAATACATAAGCAATACTTTTTGCTGTTAGCATAAGCTTTGAATGGCTCGGCAGTATGGCGAATTGTGCCAAGCGTCAGAAATATGCTTGCCACCGCACCTCTGATTACCCTGTGTGGGTTCGCAGGTTTGAATACCATTATGTGCTCACTTATGTGCAGGAGGACTGCTGGACTCCTCGCCACCATAGGGTGGTTCACGTAACTGCTGGTCGGTTACAGCTGCCTCCACCATTAAGTCCATGCATCTGAAAATGAACTAACTGGCTAACTAATCCCATACCCGAATTGGATTGGTAACTGAAAAAGAGTCCGTGGTTCAACCATATAATTAAGCTATATTATCAGCTTTCCTCTTCCCGAGATAAATTTGTAAATCCTATCAAAAATCCTATCCTATTTTGGAACAGTAATGAATGTTGAACTTAAATTCAACAGTTTTAAATTTCTGAAATTTGATGAAATAAATAAAATGAATAGGAACTTCTAATATAAATCTTTATAATATTAAATATGATTACCTCAATAGCCTGTGTAATTGTAGTATTTGAAAGTACTAATTGTTTTATATTTTTCTCATGATCTGAAATGTATTCTTCAACATTTTCGATTCGCAAATGAAGATGTCTAGTTTTGTTTTCAATATTCTTCAATGATTGACTATGTGCACTGAATCTGAGTTTATAGATATATATGATGTTACTTTTCCTATAACAATTGTATTACTCTTTGAATAAAATAAAAATGTTACTTCTCTATAATTCTAAGCTCAGACTCATTCACACCCCTTAAGGCTTTTGATAAAATAAGATCTTGAGAAATCTTCATGGACATTTTAATTTTGTTCAAATCCATGAAGAGTTTTCTTTCAGTTTTGTTGATTTGAGCAAATCCATTCACAATGTCTTCAAAGAAAAATGCATTATTTTCCTGATTTTTGGTCAAGTTCTGTAACACTCTTCCTACCTAGAATAGTAAAATATTGAATAAATTTAAATAAGTAACCTTGTTAATAAAATTGATAAATATGTCATAAATGATAATTTTAAACATAAAGCAAAACAACTAAAATATACATTGATATACTTACATTTTCCAGTTGCTTTATATGTTCTCGGTTATGATGATGCATAATGTCAGTTGTATTTATGAGTTCAAGACTGCTTTTCGTTGTTTTATTCCAAATGTCTTTAATTTCATGTTTATTCAATATTGTTTCATTTGTAAGGTTATGTAATGAATTGGTGAAAAATTTATTTTGCTTCAGTTGCATTACATCCATTGCCGTCATTTCATCTTGCAATTTCTTGATCGTTGAAGTTATATTTCTTATTGCCACAGTTATCTGAATATTTGATAAAAGATTCTTGAAGTTAATTTTGTAATTGATAGGATTTTTTATCTACAAACTAAGAAGTTAAAATGTATAAACACAAAATTCAGAAAGAAAATTTTGACCTCATTAGACAAAACAGCTGTTATGTTTGAATCCTGTAGGTGTAGAACATTTAAAAGCATCTTATTGATTGACACTTGTTCAGTGATATTTTCAAATTTTACTTGTAGTTGGTTTGATGTTTTAGCGACATGAGACACAGATTGGTTAATTTCTTCCATTCTAAAACAATAATAGAAAATTTGTAAAATAATTTACAATGAAAATATGCAGTGCTAATCATTAGCTTCATGAATGATTCTTATTCTGATACATAGTACATAAAAGACTGTAGGGACAATATAGATTAAATGAAACTTGAAGATTGCTTTTGAAATTTCCAATAAAAAATAGAAACAACCTAATAGCTTTAATGTTGCATGTTTATAAATATATTTCAGTATAATTGGAACATCAGTTTAATGATCATTGTATGTTGTGAAAGTACTAAGTCTTGGTAGTAAATTTTTCTAACCTTTCATCAAAATTAATTTTGGTCTTATTCAGACTTTCAATTGCATCTCTTTGTGAATCTTTATATGAGATTATAAGCATTTTCTGTAGCTTTCTGATATTTGAATTGATTGATGTATTAACATTATTTATATTTTCTTGATTGTCCAGTACTGATTGAGAATATGAAGTAATAGCAACATTAATACTTTCAAGATCACCTTGCAACATCACCATCTAAAAGCATATAAACAAATGTCAAAAGTAACAGATTATCAATTGCTTGGAAACATGATTGATAAAAAAGGAAAAAATTGATATACAGAATGTTACCATGAGTTATATATGAGATAATGGGGGAAAATATATATTGCCTGGCAAGTATCAATTGAAACAAAAAATATTCACTTTAAATTATTATCATTATTAAACAAAAAAAGTTCAAAAATCAACATGCTGTACCTTCTTATCAACAATCCCCATTTCCTCTTTCTGTTTTATATTTGCAGCAACAACTCCTGAAGTAATATTCGACAAAACTGAGAATGCATTGCCTGAGTCCTTTTGAACAATATCGATTCTCTTATCGTGCAATATGATTGCATTTCGAACTTCAGAGATAGACGTGTTCTGCTCAGAAATTTGCTCAAACAATGAATTTTCCATTTCATTAATTTCTTTTGCTATTGCAGTCATCTCCATAGATAAATTTGAAACAAAATTTCTTATTTCCTGTAGAAAGTAATGATGATCAATTCTTACTCGTCTTCATGCAATCATATGTGACATTCTAATACTATGATGTATTAGTTTTTTAAGTATTCATTTTATAGATGCATATTGCACAAATGCGATTTAAGCCAATAGAGTTTCCTATGTCTATCCAACATTGTTTTTTATCATAAGGAAGTGCATCATAAATAAAGAGCATTTGGATTCATTTGTTCAATACAGTGGTGTAATAAAGTCATCCAAGCATTCATTCAAAATAAATGAGTATTACAATTTAGTCAGCTAATGTAATATTCGTAAATCAACTTCCAAATGCCTACATGAGATAGGATGAAAAGGCCGGGAACAACAATCTATAAAATAAGTCTACTTGAAATATAACAAACCGTTTGCTCTGAAAACATTGTTATATTGACTCTCTGTATTTTTTCAACATTTGTTTCATATTTCAAAATTCGATCCATGAGATATCCTAATCTTTGTTGAATTCCATTTAATTCATCATTCAGATGTTGCATGGATTTATTCGAACTGAGTATTCTTGCAAATGGAAAAACATTTTAGTAAGATAAAAACAATTTCTTGAAGGACATATAAAGTCCAGAAAGAATGGGAAAGTTGGAGAGTTTCAACATTTCCTATTGTCAGTTAGAAAAACGAAGTGGCAACTTGCTGAATTAGCACTAAAGCATTATGGAAACTAAGAAGTATTTGAATAAAAGTATCTGTACAAAATTCATCATTTTGCAACAAACCTTTCATTCATGTCCCTTTCTGAGGTGTTGAACAAATCCATCATATGTAGCATATGAGACATTTGAGATTGTTTTGCTGATTTCATTAAACGTTTGATCACTGATGTAACACTTGACAAAGTTTTGTTGTTTAATCCATATAGCTCTGATATTTTCACAACATTTTCATCGATTACTTGATCTTGGATCTTCATGGTATCAAATATAATTGCTATCTAGAAAATTGAAAACAAATTCCTATTTCAATTTCCAAATTACAAATAATAACCATCGAAATACATAATTTCATTTTCTAAATTATTTCACAAAATTAGCATTTCAAGTTAATATAGAGAATTGAAATTTTACGATAAATATATCAGAAATTCATTTTTCGAGTTTTTGCAAATTTTGCTCGTCTTGACAAAATCACACCTTTCATCTTCTATATTTTTTCCATGCTCACCTTCGTTTCCAGATTTTTTGTTAATTCCTTATTTTGTTCTATGATGTTTAATGTAGATTCAGTGAAATTTGAAATGAAAATGCTTGAGTTTCCAATCTGTTCTATAGTTTTGATAATGTTCGTGTTGCCACGTTTACAAATATTCTCCAACTCCATCAATTTTGTTGTTTGATTGTTAAACTTCGGCAACAAAATTTCGCTGGTTTTTTCGAATTGAAATTTCAATGATGTCAGATTTTTCTCAATCTCTTTGATAGCTTCTTCTAAGGACTTTGAATTGAAGAATTGAATTAAATTGAAAAGTTGAAGATTTTTAAGACTTAAAGAATATAATTATGTTTTATTTCTTAGGATAGGATAGGATTTACATATTTATCCCGGGGGAGAGGAAAGTAATAAGACGGCTTATCCATATGGCAAACCACGGCCTCTCGTCCGGTTACCATTCCAAGTCGGGTATGGGATTAGTTATATTGTTTGTTTTCGGAAACATGGACTTGGTAGTTTGGTAGTTGGTAAGTTGGTACTTTGGTAGCATAGTCGTGTAACACCATGTTGTATATTTACTTTTACTTACCTTCACTTTTATTGCTGTGGATGAGTTATAATGAGTCAACAATGAGACACCTTTCGAATAGTTAGACATCTTGAATCTCAAATCAAAGATTTCATCTTCAAAAGACTTTACCGTTTGATTAATTTTTTTTTTCATGGGGGACAATGAGTTGTCATTTTCAGTAATTCTGAACGAAATTTAATTTTTTTAGATACAAGAATGGAAACATATTTCAAATATGTACTCAATGTATTATTTTGAATTGGATACACAAAATAACATACCTCAAAGATAATTTCATGAATTTGTTAGCAAAATCTTCATCAGTTTTCTTCAGTTTTTCTGATACATATGATACCTGGGATAAACAAATTTCTAAATAACAATTTGATACATATATCTTCTGTATGATGCAATACTTTTTTTACCTATATCAATGTATAAATGTATGTATTTCTGAAATTTATATTAGATTGAATGTCAGCACAGAAAAACAGCCTTAGTAAGTTTGGCATACCTTAATGCCCAATGCCATTTGCTCCTCTAACATTTTTATCTGATCTTTAACCAGCATATTAACCTTTTCAGTAAGGTTAGTGGGATACAGATCATTTGTAAGTTTCTCCAAAATATTTTCAATATTTGCTGCATTCTGCACAGTCTCATTCTTTATATTTATAAAAGAATTGTTGTGACTGGTGTGAGTTCCCAACAAAGATGTCTGCAGTATTTCCACTTCTCTTTGTAATGGTGTCACAATACTTGTTACATTAAGTAATGCATTTCGAACTCTCTGTATAAGAAATATAGTTATATATATATATATACTGGTATATTGAGTATATGTTTATACACGTTCATCTGATCCAAGGTCCTAAGCTCTCAAACTGAAGTAGAAAAAGTATTTGAGAGAGAGCATACATGCAATTCACTGATAGAACTTGATTCAATTCAAGTCAGTGGATCTAGAAAACAACAGGTGAAAAGAAATTGCCCAATTCATCCCATTTTATCTAGGTTGAAAAACAGTACATTGTAAAATTATTCAGTGCGAGAACACCTCAAGAACAAAGCTTGTGTTTCCAACAAGACAAAAAATCATACTGGAATAGATTAGGCAACATAAATTATCTAACAAAGAGACTTTCAACTATTGGTCTATAAATCAGTACCAAACTATCAGTGGTGCCAAACACAGGGCCACTTTTCATCCTTTGTATACATAAGTTAAATGATTATTCAACTGATGTATACATACAATGAAAATTAGCACTGTATTAGACACCACTGATGTGTATACATCAGTTGCAAATCATTTAACTGCTTTTATCATGTCGGTTGGTGAATTTGTTATGTGTTAAATATGTTAAATTGGAAACACTTGAAATAACGTGACCTAGTTATGACAATAATTTCTGTGATTCAATTTTTTTTTAAATATAAGGTTGCAAGGTTTTGCTCTATTTTTACAAACACACTAGCCTAAAATTGAAAACCAAAGATCTAGATAATAAATGGGCAAAAAATGGGTGAGAAGATTGCACTGGACTCCTGACGTGGTTTATAGAGTGGATCAAATAACTGCTGATAAGTTAGAGCTACCTTCACCCCCAAAGTCCATGCATACGAAACATCAACTAGTAAATTATACCTTGCATGAACTGGTAACCAGCCGAGAGGCCATGGTTTATCATATGATTCTATCCCTATGATTCCTCACTTTAGTTTAACACTAAGTTTTCGCAAAAACTAACAAATCTTACATTTGACTCATGTTCAAGAAGTTCTTTTGTATGCTGCAGATTTTCAATGCTTTTTATAATGTCAGAGTTGTTTTGTTCTATTGCATGTAGACTATCATGAAGAAGACCCACTGAAAGCACTTGCTCATTGTTGTAATCATGTAATCTAAACAGAGATATGGGCTTGTAATTACTACCAAATGTTATGAATAAAAGTTTTTTAGCTTATTTACCTCAAAAGATCAATTTTAACCTAGCTTAAACTGAAGTGTCATTATAACTAAAACGGAAATGTTAAACAACAATTTTCTGTGGTGGGTATGTAAAAGAAAGGCCTAAACCATGGCTGCCCAGCCTGCAGACTATTTTTTGCGGCCCGCCCAATAAAGTTACTAAGCGACCTTTTTAAATTTTTACTATGTTATATAGGCTTAAGTACCGGATTAAAATCGATAAGTATTAATTATTCATTAACTTGATTGATTTTATGTCAATAAACTTGCAATTTAGGTATTATGTGAATTCTAACGAAATCAGCACATGGCTGGTATCGAAGTTTGGTACAAACGTTTGTGGCCCGCAACGAATTTTGTCACGTGAAAGTGGCCCATGAGACGAAAAAGGTTGGGCAGGCCAAACTATCTTCTAAAATGTTTATAATGATAAGAAACAAATAAATGCTTACTTCTGACTTATGTTGATTTCCGAATTCTCAATTGCTTTGAAAGATTCTTTTAATACCGTCTTGTACTGAGTTTTAGTATCATTCGCCATATTGTTAATTTTGGATAAAAGATTTTTATATATCTCACTAATTTGTTTGCTAGTATCAATTAATCTATTTGCAATAGATGTGATGTTGACTTCACTTTTGTCAATAGCTTCATTTGCATTTTCTATCTGTGAAAATATAAACAGTGTAGTTGTAAAAGTTTTCAACGTGTTGAAACGGTTTTTGCTGGAGAAAATGTGATATATATAAAAATATTAATATTAAGCTAAATGGTAATCCAAATAATAACTAATTATCAACAGATTGAATAAGGTTGAGGGTTTGTCCAAATTATTATAAATTTGTAAAATCGATCTGTAAAAAATATATATATAATTCCTCCTATTTATAATTCAATTTTTGGTGTAATTAAATTTTAATTTTTTTGTGTGTCAAGTTTAATAATATAAAAGTTGGAAAAGGGAATGAAAATATTTTACCAAAATTACATTGAATTATTGATCCTAAATAATTACAAATATTACAAAAATTGTGACATTAAGACACATACATACCTTTAGATTCATACTTTCTACTGTTTGATTACTTTTATCAATATATGCAAGACAATATTCAACTTGATGCTGGTTCATCACAGATATGTTTTGAAAAATATGAATTTTCTTGGTTTGAACATCGTGTTGACTTTTCCATGATTCAGCCAAATCACTTATGTTCTGATTTAATGTTTCCAGCTTTTGTGATAGAAGTAATGTAGAATTGTTCACTAGCTAAAACATGAATAAATAAAAACTTCTTCAAATCCACGAAAGAAGGAAATATATCCTTGAATAGTGTATTGCATATTCTTCAGCTCACTATGAAATATTTGTGAAAGAAAATAGCTTCCAAATAGTAACATTTTCAGTAAATTCAAATAAAGTAAAAAAAAATACATTTAGAAAAATGCTTAATATTCTGTGAGTGGATTGTCAAACTTGCACAGCATAAACATATCTAATTTATATTTTTCATTTATTACTCATTAAAACTAACTATTTATATTAATGTGATTTATATCAAGTGATTTGTACAAAGTTAAATTGAAATTGACGTACCATAAAAAAAGTTTGAATGCCAATAAATTTGAACAAAAAATATTTGAATGAAACTGTATTAATTTCAGCTAACATACATACGCTTACAAAAGTAGTCTTCCCCATGTGAAAGTATAGTATGATCAAATAATCATCAGTAAATAAAAATGTTTATCTTCATTTAATAAAATAAAGTAGTAAAATTGTAACGCATAGTTTTACTGTACAGAATATAGTCATTGGTGACAATTGCATGCAGCTCTGAATTTGGAGGTTTTGGTCAAAACATCACTCACCTTTTTCTATTTATCAAATGTTCATAAATTGACGTTATTTACCTTAGTTTGCAACATATTAACTCCACTATATTCTTTTAAAACTTCTATATCAAAGGAATTATTTGTAGCTTTTTGTAGTACAGCATTTAGTTTATCTGAGAAAAGTCTGCTGGATACATTGAGCAACCCAGAAATATATATTGTTCTATTTTCCTGATCCAATATCCTGATAAAATGAGGATACTTAAAATGTAAAAATGCACAATGCATAATTATAACAGAGATAAGATACTTGGGACACACAAATATAAATCTAAATAGTAATAAGTCAATTTTATCATCATTTATGAACACTTGTATTAGGTTATATTATTATAGGTTGCAAGCATGACCTATGTAAAAAACATAATTTTATTTAGGCCAAGATTTTCCTTATTTTAGTTCTATTACGAGGGACTGACTGTCTATGTTAGCCACGTGAATATCCCCTTGCCCATAGCTTTCAGTCCCTCCACACAACTTGATGTAGGTAAAATATCCGAACAAAATTAGTTACCTCCATATTGGTACACATACTCCTGGAGCACCCATTTACTATTACAAAATCTAAATTTTCAGTTACTGACCTCATCTCTACCCAAACTGGGCTCGCGTATTTTGTTTCACATATGGCCTAGCAATATTTGACGCCACATATGCATGCATCACGGAACTATCTTATTGGATCCTAACCTGATTATTTTTCCTTTAGAAATTCTGATTTTAATTTAATTTTAATTTAATTTTAATTTAATTTTAATTTAATTTTAATTTAATTTTAATTTAATTTTAATTTAATTTTAATTTAATTTTAATTTAATTTTAATTTAATTTTAATTTAATTTTAATTTAATTTGAATTTAATTTGAATTTAATTTTAATTTAATTTTAATTTAATTTTAATTTAATTTTAATTTAATTTTAATTTAATTTTAATTTAATTTTAATTTTAATTTTAATTTAATTTTGATTACACATACATACTTTTGTTCCAAATGTTTATCAGTAATGTTCAAAATATTCAACTTTTGATATATTGAATTATGGCTATCCTGAAGATGTGCCAATTCATTTTCAGTCAATTTTTTTAATTCGTCCAGAGAATGATTCACATTCAGATGCACAGAGTCCATGTGAGAATGAGTATTGAACATTTCTTCAAACACATATGAGACATTTCTTTCAGTATGTTTCAATTTTCCCACAATATTTTCGATCTGAAAAAAAGCGCTTTTGAACAAACAAATTTGGAGCAATATGACATGTCATGCAACTTGTGCAAGTTTCTGCAGATCATGTTACTAATAATTAAGACTTTTGTTTAGAATCTCAAGTACTATACTATATGAAATTTATTTTAACCATGACAACAACCTTTGAGTCAGTATCTTTGTTGTTCTGTTCCAAATATTCCAAGTTATGAGATATATTTTCCGTTGCGTTAACAACATTCAAAATTTGTAGTTGATGCTTTGATAATGTTGCAAAGATTTCATACGAATTCATTGAATACAATTCCAAGAAATCAGTTAGTTTGTTAGTTTGATTTTCTTGTTTTCTACTCATCAGTGATGACATATTATCCATCAGCAGTCTCAAATTGACAGTGTTGTTTGAAATATTTGATACATTTTCTTTTATTAGCTGAAAGTTTACAGAATTGAATATCATTAACAAAAGCTCAAAACTAGATATTATTTAATTCGTTTTGACATACAGTATTCAATATGGTATTCATTCACTAATAAAAAGAAATTCAATTTAAAATATATAAAAAAAAAACATCCACAAAAAAAAAAATTAATACTGCAGTGATTACTAACTATGTCTTAAAAATTGACAAAATGAGATCTGAAATTTGAGAAGGATAAAAATTCATTATCTTAGCTGCAAATAAAGCAAATGAATTTTAGGTTATTTTATAATATTGTTATTGCGGGCACTTCACAATATATCAATAAAAATTATATTTCATCCCTGAGTCATATAAAGTACTAAAACATTTGAAAACTTTGCTCAATGCATAGTTCGTTGAGAACATGGATGTTACAGATGTAACAAAATTACATACATTCAATGAATCCATAGCTGAAATGTCATGTAGTTGTAAATTTTTCACATCTTCAATGGTATATTTACTTTGTTTGAAGAGTTCACCTATTTTGATACTGACAATCTTTGATTCATTTACCAGGCGTGAAAAAGCAAGATTGCTCATAGAGAACCTGTTGCATAAAAATTTCGGAATTTATGAGTCTTGTAAAAACAGCTGACATGTAAAAAATTACTCACTAATATTTTCCCTATTTTACAAAAATGTTAGCAACAGTAGGATTAACTCATGCACATTGAGCCAAACACATCTAAATGTGTTTTTGTTTTTACAATAGCCATCTATTGTATTTGAACATTCATATCAAAGCCTTACCTTGTATTTATCAACTTCTGAGATTCATTCATGAATGCCAACACCTTTATTATCTCATTACCAAGCATATTTTTCATTTCATTTATGCTGGGTTTTAGTTTTGCCAAGGTCTTTTTAGTGACATTCAATTCTTGGTCTGTTGCATATGATAAATTTGCAATTTTTTGATTGAGGTACATTGCCATTTTTTCTATATTTGTTATCTGTATGTATAAATATCATTGAAATAATGATGAACAAAGAAAAGCGCCATTAATTCTGTGGTAGGTCGGCATGTAATGCTTAGAAGATTGCAAGCCAATTATTTATATATGTGCTGAATACATTATTACATTCTTGGTATAAACTCTTGTCTACTATAGTATAGACCAGTGTTTCTCAAACTTTTTTTGCTCGCGGCGCACTAAGCAAATAAAAAAATTTGCAGCACATTTGTAAAAAAATGAAGGTCGTTTTAAACAAATTATTCAGCAAATGTTAATGCGATGTGTGTGCCTGTTTTAAGAAGCAATTGAAATGAGGTTCGGTCGCTCCATTTTTTGCTTTTAATTTCAGCCATAGCAGATAATCCGTTTTTCAGAGCCATGAAGAAGCAAATGGCTAGATTATTTTGATGGCTTTTGCATGGATGATTAAATATAATTTGTAAGCAAATAGACTTGTCGAAACTTGCTTTCCTGTTAGCCTAACTAAGCGCGCAAGTCAACATGGTGGAAGGTAGACATTTTGTTTACAAATACATTATGACATAACAATATAATTATAACATGACAATCACCTTTACTACAACAATAAGGCAAATGCACTAATATTACCAGTCTAGTTAAATACTGGATACTCAAGTCTCACAAGCTTGCCCATTGCATGCATGCCTATGTGTAATACGAATCTAATATTCCAAAAAGCTCTGCAGCACACCTGAGTATCTCTTGCGTCACACAGTTTGAAAAAATCTGGTATAGACAATACTATACTCTTATCTATATCCACTTTCTCAAAAAGTCATTTACAAAAAATATCATTATTGAGTAATTCCTTGATAAGAATTTTCTAAAAAGGCTGAGAAATGGTTTCAATCTATACAACTGCAATTTCAACCCAACATTATGATATGACAGATAAAATAGTATTGAGAAGTATTTTAAAGACAAGAAAGCTAATAAGACAGATTGACATCCATCTATACAGTTTAACTCTCCCTTCGCATGTCAGACCATAGCCAACCAGTATTTAAGGAAAAACTACATCGACGAGGGAAATAAGTGAGGCAGTCTGTTGCTGCCTTTGAGTTATGAGTCTGTAAGGTATGAAAACTTACCTTTGATTTTACCACACCAATCTCCAAATCATTGTCTTGGGTATTTTTAGTCATGTTTGATATGATTCTTTGCAATATCTACAAACAAAATAATAGTCATGACTATTGCCATATTTTTAAGTTATATTCATAAAAGTACACAAATATACAAAGTACCTTTATTTTTAATTTGTCAGATTTATCAGAAAGATTTACTAGGTTTAGATCCTCCGTGATATTAAGTATATTTTGTGTCATAATATGCAAATTGGCCTTCAGTTTGTCCAATTCGACTTTTTGTGTGGCTTCTTGTAGCCTTGACATTCTTAAAAGAAAAAATACACTTAGCAAATTCCTTTTTTTTATCTAGAATGAATATAGAACCCTCTGTGAAATAAATGTTTTCTATTGTTCAATATGTGCCTAGTTGTAGTGGCATACGTGTGAGAATAAAAGATATATAGATGCAACCCATACCTTCGATTATTTGCAATAGTCTTATTGTAGTTCTCCAAAATATTTGATATGTTGATTATCTGTAAAATATATTATAATAATTTATATCATAATTTCCAATAAATTGAAAAAAAGAAATGTTATTAATGTTAATTATCATAAGTAGTGAATGCAACACCATAAATTAACTTTCATAAAACAGCTCCGGCGTAATATCAAAAAAACACAGGGTATACAAAACTTCAAAATTATTTGGGTCCGGTCTTTCCAGAAATTATATTTCGACATTTCTAAACGCGGATTTCCTCGACCAGCTAATGATTATTAGCTAATCAAAATTGCTTATTATGGTGTCATAGTTCTCTTCATATATATTTAAAACTATAAAAGTTTTTTTATAAAAGAAAACTTTAAAAGTGGGGCTGATGATCTAAATTAATTGCGGTTCGAATCAAATACTCGAAAGGTCCGGATTCGGACAGCAGTCCGCCAGTTGAGTAACCATGCTATAGAGTTTGATTGGGTCATTGTTACAAGCATTTATGTTAGCTGAATAACTGAAACAGCATGATAGATAATAAACTAACACAGCTGGTTTATGCACACTAGAGACATCCTGAATTCACAATTATGACTTGGGCAATCATATCAAACATTCAAGCTTACCTGTTCCATAATACCAAGTTTTGTATTAAGTTGCTCTGCAATAATATAATCAACTTTATCACTCATGTTGGCAACATACATCATATTTTTGTTCAATTTTGATAAGACGGATTGCCCTGAATTTTCACTCATAGTTCTCAATTTGTTGTAGAAAATACTGTGATTATAATCAGACTTTCTCAGTGACTCATTAAGGCTTTGAATCAGTAATTTGTTGCTCGAAATATTTTCCAGCAAATCAGCAGACACTTTGTTAAGACCATCGTAATGATTCTGAAGGGTAGTCATGTTTTGCACAGCATTTTTGAAATTATTGCTCAGTAGATTGAAGCTGTGATCCATATTTGTGTTTACATTTTGAATACTTTTTTGCATCGATGATACGTTTCTTGTCAGCCAGGGAAAAGATGTTGATATTTCCTGAACGAATATTTGTACATAAGTTATGTAGTTGAGGGTTTCCTAAAGTTATTCAAAAATTATTTGCTACCATGGATACTCTTCCAAAAAATACTTTGTCCTAGTTACTGTAATTACACCATATTTCATATTAGGATGAATGAAGCATTCAAATTGGAGATGAAAATAAATTTAAAAAAACAATACAATCTAAGTAGCTTGAATGATATATGCAATTATTTGTGACAAGTCAAGTCATTGCAAAAAATGCACATTGTAAAATAAAAATGACAACAAAATACAACAAGAACAAATAAATGAATGCAATCCCTTCCCAATGCAGGTATCTCTTGCAGTTATAAAACTTTTCCACAATGTGTTTTAACATCACTCACCATTGCAACCTGAGACACATTTTCCAAAGAATTTTGTTGGTGATTCAGGAGAAATGTCATATTTGCAAGACCAATAGAGTAGATCTCTTTATTAGTTTCAACCACAAACGCAATCCTTTTTAAATTGTCAAAAAGTTTTTGAAGAGTAACATTCATTTGAATATTTCTGTACACAGAATTTTATATTGGTAAGGTATGTATGACAATTAAATACGGTAGTGATATTATAAAGCCTGAACAAAGAACCACATAAAGAATACTGAAAATTTTGCATAATGTTGTGTATTTTCCATATATTTGCGGAGTGCAATGTCTGTCTCATCCTATGAGCCGCGCTTAACAGGCCCCAAATTAAGGTAATCCCTTTAGTTACATGAAATATTGCGATGTTCCATACCTTTTCTGTTCTGCATTGCCATTTTTAGCTAAATGTTTAGATAAAAAGATTGTTTTGTTTGCCAACTCATGAAAATGACTTGTCACTTTGGATTTCAAAGTGTTCAATAGTTCATTTCTGTGACTGTTCTGTTGAAGAATTGCAAACAGCAGTCGACTAGTTGCATCTACATCTTGTGGAAAAATTGATCCATTGTTAAATTTGTTTGAAAAGAGAATCTCATCTTCTTCATTTATGACCTAGTGTTGTTGAAATAAATTGAACACAATTATAATTAATGAAACTGCACTATTGAAAATAGTAAGACATTTGGTATGAAACTGAATTCATTTAACTAGCTGTTGTTTTTTAGTTTTCTTATTTGTAATTTCTTGTTTACAGAAAGTTATATAAAATATAGATCTTTGGTTTAAATCACCTCTTTCAACATTTCTCCATGCAGATGCCATTGAAAATTGAGTTTTGTTAATATTGCCGATTCTCGCAACTTCATATCATCTGTGGTTTTTGATAAACTTTTGGCCATATAATCCAAAGTTTCATAATTAATTTGGAGGCGATCCAACCTCTCATTTGTACCTAACAGAGACTCTTCTATTTCTAGTCTTCCATTAGATAGAAAATCAACTATTCCATACAGTTCCTGATTAAAAGGTGACACATATGTAAATAATATATTTACAGATGAAGCTAGGTGCTACTGCTAAATGTAAAGGTCACAAGATGACTTTAAAAATGACTTAGTGTACAACAGAAAATAATACCGACACATCCATCTTTCTTCATATAATTTTGAATGGGCCATATTATAGTTGAACTTGCCCCTTGAGAAAATAGTAAAGATACAATTTTCAAAACAAAGTATTACTAAAATTACAAATACAAAATACCTTTTGAATTTCTTTTAAACCTTGTAATTCTTTAGACTGCTCATAAAATTTCAAAGACACATTGGAATTTATCTTGTTCATTAAAAGTGAATTACTGTAGAATGTTTTGTTTAGTTCACTTATATCATGTAATAACTTTATTTTTATGTCTTCCACCATTATTAAATCAGATCTGCATAAAAAAAAACACAAAGCATCATTTTGTACAGCACCTGAAAATTAATTCAATAATTATTTTGCTGACTCAGGGCACATGCTCAGATTGTAAGTCAGTAGAGTAATGATCTGAGTATGGGCATATTATTTTTTATAAAATACTTATCTCAAAGCAAATAATATGAAAAATAGTAAGTTATGACCAATACTGAGAATGTTGTAATGCTATAAAAGAGCACATGTTTCATTAAACACGGAAATCTTACATAAAAATGTCACAGTAATAATCATTTACATCAATTATTTGATTCATTATAAATCAGTTGCTATAAATAAATTAATCAGTTTGAGCATTACAAATCAACCTAAGGCCATAAAAAATATGTGAACTTTTACAAGCATAAATGAATAGCAAAGAATGAATATTATTTTTGAAAGAAAGAAGAATATCCAATATTATTCAATCAAGTCATAACATCAACTACTTGTTTCTCATTTCATTATCAATTTCTTCTATTTTTATCAGTGTGTTGTTTAGTTCATCTTTTGTGCGAAGTATTTCAGCATCTACACCATTTAATCTTCTTTCATTATCTCTAGATATATTCAGCACTTCCAAAAGGGCTTCTTTTTGAGAATGTACAGAATTTGATAATGATCTGATTCGATCTGCATATTCAGATGAATCATTTTCAACAGTTGATTGAATCTTGATAAAAAAAGTTATAAGTTATAGGTACCTAGCTGTCAAATTTTATACAGTGGCTGTAGTGTAGTCAAAACACACCATATTTTAGGTGATCTGTAAATCAGGTAAACATTATTATGGTTCAATATTTGATAATTTAAATTGATGACATAGGATTAAAACGATTTAGATTAATAATTATATGTTTATAATATAATAGTGTCAAACCTCAAACATCTTGCTGTTTATTTTTGAAAATTTCATTTCATTTCTTCTTATTTCTTTTGATAAAGATTGAACATTTCTGGAGAGGACGTTCTCAGTATCTTCGATGGAAACTTTCTGGAGATCTAATCAATAAAATGATTATTTTATTTTAGGGCGATTAACCACAGCCTAACTTAAAAACAATGGTATTCCATCCAATACTGTGTACAATTCAAAGTATTTTAATAAAATTACAAACCGATCATTCTTGCCAGAGAATTGACATCAATAGTCAAATTGTATAATATATTGTTTCTTACAATTTCTTCATCGCGGAATCTTGAAATTCGAATCTGCAATGTTAAAAGAACGTAGCTAGTACTTCAAATATTGAATATTAAATAATAATTTCAAGGTTTTTTTAAATATCTACACCTCTCTGATCTATCAGTATTGTTTATTGGAAGTGAAAAGCTAAAAGTATAAAGAAGCATAAAAATAAATCAGGCATTGTTGAAGAAATATGTCTAGATATTTTCTAACAAGAGATATGAATTAAAGTGTACCTCATTCAGCATACTAGTGGAATTGACACGATAGATCTTTGCCCTGAGTTCATTTGCAGCAGAATGTAATTGTTGTTCCTTTGAATGTGTTCTTTGTTTCTCTTCATACAAGGATAGTTGTAATTGATGTATCACAGAAACCGTCGAGTTCATTTCATTACAAAGTGAGGAGATAGAATTACTGTTTTCTGCAATCTTCTTATCACGTGAAGAAGCAACTTTCTCAAATGCATCAATTCTGTAGAATATTAGAAGTAGATGTCAGGTGACTTAACCTATGACAATCACAAAAACTTCGAGAATGGAGGTTGTTGGTTCAATTTGTCTCGTACTTTGACAGTGAAAAAGCTGCAACATACTAGTAGAAAAATTAACTAATAAATGGCATTGTGGGTAAAATAAACCACTTCCAAAAATTACAGGTGAGAATACAAAACATATGCTAACTGAATTTATTTTCCAAACCTAGTTTTCAGAACATTGATATTCGCAGTTTCTTCTTTCACATGTTTTAAATCAGCTGTAAGAGTCTGGGCTCTATCTACGGATTGAAGCAAATCTTGCTTTATTGTTCGAATTTCATTGTCCTGTGATCTGAAATTTTCTGCATTCGATTCAGTTTTTTTATCGAAAACATTCAGCATTTGTATATTTGATTGCTGTTGTGATTCCAATCTATGGGCCTGAATATAATTATGAATGATACTCCATGGAGTATTGCAAATAACAAGACTCTATACAAGCAAACGTAATATGACATCTTCACCGATCAAATGAAATACATACTCAACTCGAGGCAGTCTTCATTCCCAGATACAAAATACAAAAAAACGGTGCTCCTGAAGTATGTGCACCAAGATGTCACATAACCTTAACCCTAACCTGGTACACATACTATGTTCAGGTTGTGCACCATCTTGGTGCACATACTTCAAGGACCAAGGAGGTCCAAAAAAAACACCTGGTGACAAGCTTATACTTATCAAGTATGTCTTTAATTTTGGTGTCAGATATAATTTAAGATCTTGACTCTGTTAGAATTATTAGTGTATACCTTGTTTGAAAAAAATATTCTGAAGAATATAAAGTACAGGTATAGGCAGTAAATTTCCTATGTTTCCTATGTTTTAAATACATGTACAGGATGTCCATAAGGTCTGGACACATAGAATAAATAGATATTTTTAGTATGTAATTAAAAGTAATATTATTTCCACTATTCATTTGTATTCAAATAACATCTTCAATATATCATTTGCAATGCAAATGTTAATGCATTTCACAAAACTTGCATGCAATAAATCTACATGGCTGTCAGTTTTGATACATTCAATTTTTATTCGTTGAGTGCATTCAATCAGTGATTTTTGTTGAGTACACTTTCCTTTATACTGTGGTAAACAGGGAGACCACTCCACATCACCATATCTTCCAATCCAATTGGGAAAATTTCACTCAAGCAATCTCTTACGTTCATTGCAAAATGGGCCGGAGTGTCATCCAGTTGGAATGCCCACTCTGGAATTCTTTCACCAAGAGTGGTTGAGTGACAATTTTTCTAATTGGATTGGACAAAATTGATGGACATCCTGTACAGTATATTGGTGGGGGAACTGTATGAAAAACAAAAAAGGGAATTTATTTTAAAGTGATAAAGTATATTAGGGTATAAATCGCCTTTTTTTGAAATATTTAGGAATCTCCAAATAAAACATATACCAACCTTTATCTTTAGAGTATCAACAGCTATCCTTATATCTCTAGTTCTGTTCAAAGTATTTCTGATAGATTCCTCCAATACATCAACTTCAAATTGCATATTGTCCCTATCTTGTTTCAAGTTTTCAATTTTTCCATTCAAAAGTTTTGAAGCCTTGAGTGTAGAATACATTCGAATGAAAAAAAAATTGTAGAGGATAATTCTGATACTCGTAATGAGCGAATACATTACAAACTATTTCCTGTCAAATTTGGTGTACATTATTGCCATGGTGCAATGTTTTATTGTGGGATCAACATATAGGCTGCATATATATGTAATTTAGTGGTCTATAATCATACTTAAATTTGGCAGGAAACTGAAGGTATATGTTGGAATTGATATATACTTAAAGTGAAATTCAGACAGTTGAATTTTCAAAAATATAATGATAAAGAATGTTGTCTGGGACATATACTGATTAAAAATAAATCACCTCTTTAGTTTCCAGTAAGGAATGTTCTATTTCATACAATTTTTCTACGTTAGAACGTTGGGCTGCATTTTTATTCTCCAAATCAGATTCTACGCTATCAAGCTGAGATTTTTGTTGCTGGTTGTCATTTTCACATTTAACTACTCTGTAACATTATAAAAAAAGTCACTATATTTTATCATATATATGCGTAATCAAAATACAAGTATTTGTTTGATTTTTTTATGATATGATATTTATGGCTATTTCAGAATTTCTCTTTGACCAAGGTGCTATCTTGTTTGTATGGGGAACGTCTTTGAAATGGGATGACTGGTAGTGGTGGCCAATGCCAGTGCGCCACTGGAGAAAATTAGTTATTATTAAAATTGAACAATTGGAACTTACCAAGATCTAAAACACTCATAAAAACTTCATATGTATCCAATATCCTACGTAGGTATAATAGGCTAAATGAAGGTAATATTAGTCATTTCTGTATTCAATGTGTAAAAGAACATTTATTTACCTTGATTCAATATCAGATAAACCTATAGCAAAAACACGTTGCTTCAACTTGTTCGCGGTGTATAAAGACTGCGTTGCATTGATTTCGTATTTCAAACTCTCAATTGCCTGCTTCAGTTCAGCTACATTGTAGAAAAGTTGTCTTGTTGCATTAGATGCTGATGTATGTAAATACAACAATGTATTATTGACAAAAATATCATTACACCTACAATTCTAGTGCTACAAATATGATTCCAATGAATACACATGAAAAATAAAGTAAATATTAATGGCATTTCCCAACCAGAAATATGGATGTCCTAGAGATACCCAAGTTGAACCGTGTATGTGTTTATGTAACACAAGTTAGATGCCCGAATGATACACGTTCATATTTTTTTATCTTTCTTTATAAATGTTTTGTGTGTGTGAGATGGGTAAACTGGCACATGTATTTCGGCATGTCTTAAAATTTATTAAAGGTTTTGCCAGTTTCCTGATTTTCACAAACTTTTGTGTGTTCATTGTTTTGTGTATGTCTTTTTTTGGCGCTCCAGAAGTATGTGCATTAAAATGGCGCACAACCTGAACCCTAACCTGGTACACATACTATGTTCAGATTGTGCGCCATCTTGGTGCACATACTTCTAGAGCTTCCTTTTTTGGAGGAAATCAAAATAAACTTTCACTTACACTATACACCTAAACTTGTGTAAATAATTTCCTGTGAGTGGCAGAAAAATTCATGCAAATTAGATATGCGAAGATTCAGAAAACCTTGTGTATTGGTTACATGCTGGCATAAGAGTGAAAATGGCAGAATATTTATTACCAAATCATTGTGAATCAGTTCTACTATATTATATTCATATTATTTATCTGGCATATTGTATGATTTAATTACCAGGAAGGCAGCAAAGTAAGTTATTTTTATTACCCATAAATTCATATTTGAATTTTTGTTTGAGCAAACGGATTGATGAGCTCTGATTTGCTGAATTCATCACGATTTCATCCAGTTCTATCTGATGGTTATTAACATTGTTTTTTATTTGTTGTATGGAGGATGAAATATGTTGCATTTTCTGTTCTACAGATGCTAACTTTTCTTTGTTTTCTGATGTGAATAGTCGTGTTCTGTTCGAAATCTGTCTCTAAATATGCAATGAAAACAATATTGTAAAGAACGTAAAAAACAGATTTTAATCAGCTACCAATTGAATGTTCTACATGTAATATTACGTATATCAATAAATGTACACTACTTTGGTTGGTTGAATTAATCTGTACAAAAACACAAATATTTTATGACTGAACTTTTGATTTCCTAGATATAAAATTACATTACTTGTCTCACGACCATCATTCTTGTGCTCTCTACTGCCTGATCAACAACATTAAATTTTGTTTCCAGCATTCTCAGCTTTTCCTCTAAGGTAGTTGTGAAATGTCCGGCTCTTCGAATTTCCATCTTTGTCTCCTCCATAGTCCGCTTTTGTTGACTGACACTGTCTAAGAAATGGTATACAACATCATGAACAACGAAACAAAATAAGTTATAAGCATGAATATGACACAAAACCTCGAAAATGAATATTTAACAAAATAACGCCATCAACATTGTATGAATATTTGAAACGTTGTCTTCACATAGATCATTCTTTTCAAAATTACAGTTTAGACTCAGATTGTAGGGAATAAATTTATAAAATGTCATTCGTTTACACAGGCACAATTACTACGTTTAAGAGATAAAAACTGTGGGATACTTAAAACTTGGATTTTAGTTACTGTTACCATTCCTATTTTAGCGACTTTGTTAGCTCAAACAACTGTTATGTCAATACCAATTATAACTAACGTAATATCTCGATAAATTTCCATTTGCTCGACCACGAGAAACAATTTAAAATTACGAACTTTTGAATGGTCTAAAATTGTTCGTATCCAGAATATTCAATTATTGAAACTATTCACAAAGTTTCTTACGAATTAATTCACCTTCTACAAACTCAAGCTTTTGCTCCATTAAGTTCTTTTCTTCCAATTCTTGTATACGATGTTGTTTAATAACATTAACATCTGTCGTCAAATCAAGAATATTATTGGCTGCTTCAGTAATCGATGCTTTGCTGTCTTCAGCTGTATACTGAAGAATAGAAATTTCATTTTCTGTTTTGGTTTTCCATGTATTGGTCGATTCTTTTAATCCAAAAAGCGATGCTTTTAAGCCATCTACTCTGTTAGTTATTTCAAGTTGCGATCTTTGACTTTTTGCTTTTTCTATTTCTGAATCCCGCTTGAAATCATCAAGCTCAGTACTCAAAGTGTTAGTTTTTTCGTTGAGTACTGTATTTTTACTATCATATTCTTCAGCTTTCGATCCAATCCTCTGTATTCCGTACATTATATCTGTCATATTTCTTTTAGTGGTGAGTGCATAAAGTCTTATTTGCTTTTGAGTATCTCTCAGAGTGTCAGATATCTCTGTCAGTTTTTCTTGAGAATTTTCTTGTCTGAACCTATGCAGTCAAATAAGAAAATACATAACTATTTTTAATATGTGCATGCAACGGGTATGACCATAATCAGCCAATGAATAATACATACTTTTCAAAAGTTAGTCAGCCATGTGCTCATTACACCAATCCGTATTTTGTTTAGGAAGCACGCTAGTTTTATTGCAGCTATTGGTTGTACGTGGTTGTACTACTTCAATTAAATTCAATTGTGGATAACGGTAAAGCAATTTCGAATTTTAAAAGATCCATGATTCTTACTTACTCATCACTATAAATCTAATAAGTGGGAATGGAATTCCGGATGCCCTGTGAATTAAGGTATCGAAAAATAAATCTAGGTAAAGTATTCAAAGTATCTTTATATGGATTGCTTACGTTATATCACTTGTTAAAGATTGCAGTTCTTGGACATCCAGGTCAATTTCATCCAATTTCCGTTTACTCTCTGTCACTGTTGTCTTGATTTCATCAAATGAGTCGTGTACTTTTGTGACATCACCAGAATTTCTCAGAACCAAATTTCGTAAATTTATTGTGCTTGCCACGTCTTCCTTCAATCTGATTATTGATGGAAGTTCGTGAGAAAAAGTTCGTATCTGAATTAAATGGATAGTTCTCATAAAATATGAAATTATTCTTTGGTAATTTCAGGCAAGGGGTAAAATATCTTGCTTATTGGCGTCTTGCTCATTGACAAGAAGAAAAGATAATAATTATCTTCCGAAGTGTTTCATCGCAGGGGTAAAATAGAATACAAGCTTGCAGTTTGAGTTTCATTGTAAGGCGAATAAAGTGGCTTTAGATGGATGCCACAGCTATTTGCCCCATTATCCATAGGAGGGAATGTAATACAAAGGTGGAGTTAAAGAAATATGTTACATCCTGAGGTAGTATGGACGTGGTAATTAACATCATTCTGATAATATATTTTCCAATTTTTTACAAATATTCTTGCGTATAATTTAACAGGGGCATAGCCGGAGGGTGGTTTTGGGGGTTGGCCCCCACCCCTTTAAAATGTAAAAAAGCATCTTTCTGTATCATACATAGCAATTTTTAGGTGCTCGAAACGCTTTTCAAACCCTCATGACTCATGGAAACACACGTTTTCTGGCGTTCGGTCGGACCTGCTATAGCGGTCTCGATCTAACTTGGCAAATAGAAATTTCAGAACTCGCCCCTTTGAAAATTTCTGGCTTCCTGTAATTTAGTGTGATCATATTTTCATTAATATTTTCTTGTTTAATGAATGATAAACAAATATGCGTGTATGTCTGTTCACATTTTAAAAAGATGATATAATTTTGTTCCTAAACTACAATACCTCCGACTCCAGATACGCAATATGACGAGATGTGTTTGCAACATTTGCTAACAGTCCAACATTGTTTTTGACTTGCTTATTTATTCCGAACATTGCATCACCAATCAACAATTTCACGTCATTCTTTGTCAGTGCATTGGTGTCTACTGGATTTATCAGTTTTTCTTGCTTGAATAATTCAATTTCATTCTCCAGATGTGAAATCCTCTCGCTTGTACTTTTATTAAATTGTTGGAAATCTTCTTCATTGACAGCATTTCTCAACTTAAGACCTGAAAGTGAGAGAAAGTTCAAACTGCAATATAAAATATTTTGATTTTGACACTCTAATTCGAAGTTTATTGTATTCATCACAAATTTTATGAATTTAACCAGATTGCGATCCTATCTCATTCGAGATATAAAAATGTCTGGCGTTTGTCATAGATGACCGCCGTGGACTTTGTGCATGTATTGCCAAAATCCGGTTAAAACTGAGATTTTGAAACAGATTTCAACAAGGCATTTTTGCTCTTCCATCCGAGCAAGGCTATGTATAAACATCAACTGATACGCAAGAAGCAACTATTCATGGAAGTCATATTGAATACCGCACCTTCTATATTTCTTATTCTACGTCGAAGATTTATTATGGCAGAATTCTGACGACGACGATCATCAGTCTTCTCTCGTATAGATTTCACAGCAGCTTCTAGTATTCGACGATTTGATCTTATTCCTCCAACTAGTTCTACATTAGCTCTCTGAAACGCAGAGCGGACGACATCGAATCGAACATTAACATTTTCCACCTCCTGAGACCTATTGCTTTGAACTTCAGTGATATCTTCGAGTGAGCTTTCTTGGATTTCAACGCGAGAGAATATTAAATCAAGCCGCTTAGATAATTCATGAATAGAAATGTTCAATTCTTCGTTCTCCATTCTAACATCAAGTTCGCTAGTACTCTCAGATTGATTTAGTACTTTTAATCTTTCTTCAAAGCTATGAAGCTTGTTGCCAAACTCCAACAAAGCATTTTCAATCTCAGAATTTGATACTATTCGCGCAACTTGAGATCTATTGAGATTGGCACCCTCTGTCAGTGGATAGTCTCCATCGAATATTTCAAAGTGGATGAGTTGATCACTGATATCGTCATCCAACGTTCCATAATCGTATTCTTTTTGCTCTCCTGCGCTTTCGTTTGATTTAATCAGGCTTTGTAATGTGCCGGCGAGTAGTTTGGTGTTTTTATCTAGGACCTGCAATTTATCAAATCTTTTAGATACGGATGGTTGTGGTTGATCTAAATATCGGTTATTTATTTGAAATGGACATCAGACAATTTTTTAGTTGCAACTACAATGAGTTATATTAATTTTTGGTAGATTTTATGCATGATTTGATAAGAACTAACCTCGAAGCAGAAAGGATAAAATATGAAATATACGATTTTCAACCTGCACGTGCCAACACAGAAACGAGCATCATTATTTGGAGCTAAGTAAAATTGGCAGTACATGATGACATTTTTCTTCGTAGTTTGTTATTAGAAGGCTGGTACGTGAGAGCTTGAGACGAACTAGCGGTAAGGGTCAATTTACTTTCAGACAAAAGTTTCTTCTCAGATATTATCTCAATAAATATCTTAATGATGTATGTGACGGAAATAGTCAAAGTAGAAAGCATATAGCAAATATTGGGACAATTTTATTCGAATAATTATAGCGTGCCCCAAAGTCACAAGGTAAATTGATGAGATGTAAAAATACCATTGAGGCGTTTTCTACGTTGGAGATTCGGTGCAGAAGTTTAATTTCTATTTCTGAGACATTTCGAACAAAGTTTTCACAGCAATGGGTTGTTGTTTTTTCGAAATTGTCATCTTCAATTTGCTGAATTTTTGATTGGATGGCTTGCATCCTGTTTGAAAGAAGTAAAACGATATTTAGACACTAGTGAAAATGGTAGCACAAATCACAAACCCTTTTTAAACATATCATAAATAATGCTACCATGGTAATACGTCTGTGCAAAATCTCTTAGGGAAGAGAACAATAAATTCTGAAAATAAAACATAAGCAATTTTTATTCGCTTTCTCACCTGAAATTCTGTGATTCCGAATCATTCAAACATTTCTTTATAAGACTGGAATGGATGGAAACACTTTCTTTCAAATACCCAAGGCTTTTTGAAATTTCTAATATATCACTACCAGTGTTATCCTTGCTTATATACAAATCATCATCTGTTGAAAGCAATTATATAATAAATTGGATGAAAAAATTTCGAGTAATAGAAACGTGTTGTAAAGTACAAACGATCGCCGGTTGCCATTGTCTCTGAATACTCTTGCTGTAATACAGATGTTTCAGATTTTGTATACTGTCATTTTGAGAGAGAATGTCAATGTATTTACAAAACCAGCGTTTTGTTCTTATTATGATAAATGATTATTCATAAATTTATTGGCTGAATTTGCAAAAGCCAATATTTGAGACATTCTTGAAAACGTTGAACCATCGAAACGAAAATCAGTGCTAGAGTACCGAGAATTTTGCATCATTTGAAAATTGCATTTGAGATCTGAACATCTGACCCCTGATTCCTGGATCCAATATGGTCTAGTCATTATTCATTGTAGCATGAGCGAGTTGTCGCCTTTTACTTAAAAATATTAACAGTGCACATGAGGATCCTTGGACATTCGTCCTCAAATCATCGCAATTTAACCGATACTCTTAGTTTACTTTAATAGTAGTTACGAACATACCGTTAGTTCTCAAAACTTCCGAATTGCCATGTTTCATCATCTCCACTTCTCGTTCAATACGATTGAGTTTGTCTTCTGTTTTTTTAATTCGAGTTTCATGATCATTCGTGATATCAAGTATTCCTGCAAAACACGTGCGTTTTGAGGTACAATTCAATATATTCGCCGTTTCCTTTCATAAGCAAGTTTTTTGTTGCGGTTCCAAGCTATACATTCAGATGTTCGATATTTATCATGATGTGTAAGAGGAAAACCGATAAAATGCTTGATCATAGAGCATACTACGTCGCCGGAGAGTTTCATGATTTGAAGGGCTCTACCGTTGAAATGGGCGATTAGGGGCATTTCCCCCAAATATAAATTTGAACGAGCGTAGCGCAGATGCTCGTCAGTCGCAAACGTATTCGAGGACTCCAGCCGATGCACATGCCTTTCTCTAGTTTCACGTCATGCTGACAGTGCACGTGTGTTCATATCACTTAATAAACAGATCATCTGAGAGCAATAAACCGAATTTAAGGTATTTCATTTCAACGCATACGAATATACGGTAAATATAAGCTGAAGAAAAATTTTCTACATCGTTCAGATAATAAAAGTCCATCCAAGTATTCCAGATCTGAGAGTCCCATTTATAGGATCCATGATTTTGATACTGATGGTTTTGCAATACCAATAATTTTGAAACGCTTTTTCAGATATTGCCCCCAAACCGATACAAACCAGTGTACCTCGAGCAACGTTCACAAGTAGAGTACTAGCTTGTAGTTACACATTTAGGAAAATAGCTTATCGCGGAGCTTCTCAACATGAAAATTGAAGCGTACTGATCCTGGTAATGCGCGACGATGCATACGTATGCATAAAAATGAGCTGTCAAAAAGCATAATTATTTTTACCGGGTTATGCCAGAAGAAAAGCCCATTAGCAATTGAAAATCAAAACGTTCTCTCAGTTCACTGCGCTCAGCTGCGACTGGAAACAAACCTCTCAAAAACGAGGTTCATAAAAATCCCTACAAAATAACCGCCAAGATCCAAATTCCCATAAAACGCTATATTTTTGTTTCTCTAATTGATAGGTTTGGTGGAATACTAGCACAACTTTGTGCATTACAATTGCACCCTGTCGGTAAAAAAAGTCCGTCAATTTACCAAAAGTTCATGGTAACTTCGCATTTCAAAGTATCGTAAAGCTTGAAACTCGCTCGCCTATTTGCAGGAGAATTATAACAAATATTTACCACTAAGCCTTCTTGAAATTGTTGCTGACAATGTTATAGACAATCTACTTTCCAAAGAAGATAAGGTTGACTTCATGAGCTTAACATCTGTGTCGATTCTTCGTAATGAAACATCGACTTCATTCATCCAGGGCGTACGACCACGTTGCCTCTGAGAGGTAGGATTATACGATCCTGGAATTCTCTGTCGTAGAAAACTTTCCGTTAATACAGTATATATGGAATGCTACTGTATTTATGCCTAATTTTTACAATTATATATTTAAATTTTTAGTCTTTTACACAATACATAAAGTGCAAATGAACTATTGAACTGAAGAACTTATGACTCTATTGAAATAAGAGCTCGAACCAAATAGCTTTAAATACCCGTATTTTCCTTTAATCGCCACGCCAGCACTTACCTGATGCTGATATACAGGCTGAGCAGGTCTAACGCGAGATCTAGTTTGTCCACCACATTTGTCGATAAATGTCACCAACACTGCAATGGCGATAACGACACTTATTGTGACAGAGAAGTTGTGGAACACCATTTCCACAAGATCTGTCTTCCTGTAACTCGCTGAAGCTTGCTCATTCGAACTGCGTGCATACGCAAAATGGACTCTGTTTTAATTCAGGGACAAGGGGTCTGTGAATGCCTTGGAAATTTTTTCTCTTATGGTGCTGTAAGAAAGTTGCACTTGTGAAGGTTGAACTGAATGTGGGCCAATGAAATATCGATATTGCGTTGTCACAGCACCTTCAATCAAGCATGACATAATAAATTTTTTCGTGGATGCTGAGCGCATCATCAACCGAGTAAATATGCAATCAATGTAAAATTGTATTTTGGATAAAATATGAATAGAGTATCTATTTTACTTCAGGAAGTCTGGATGCAACTCTCAACATGCGCATACATTTACTTTGTGTACATTTACAGTAAAGTAGGTTATCTTGAACATGTTTGCGTATGGAATGTTCCAAGTGTTGTCGCACAAGTAATGTAGGTCAAGCTACTGAATTAATTTGATATATCTCCAATATTTACACTGTATTTTTGTGGAATATAAAATTCAGCAAATATCTGCATAGCCTTTATCGGTCATTGAATCGACTTAGATAAATCAATGCGACCAATTGACGTATAATCAAGCTGTGTCCGTGATGGCATGGCAATTCATATATACTTGAAAACGTCTCATTTGTATTGTACTCAATATATTTTTCTGACTGGGCTATTCGACTAACTAAAATTTTAGCTGGATTTCAATTTTTGTGATCAAAGATTTTTTTCGGTGCAACATTTTGTACACAGAAAATTGTGCCCGCTTGCCACTCACCCTTCCTCTTCGCTACAGGTGCTTCACCGGCTCTCCGAATATCAGCTACAACTATCATCGTCAAATAATCACAGTTTTTCATTGTCGTAATAGTGGTGATGCTTTTTTGTTTGATTTCTACGCCCCCCCCCCCCCACCAAAAAGCTTTATTTTCTTTGCTACCAGTTGATCAGCGTTGTTAACTTTTATCATGCGACTAGTTTCATTCTGTAAGGCTTCGAAATTTGAAAGGTGTGGGTTGCTTTCTTTCATCTCAGATCCGATCCCGCGGATGTTAGCCAAATTGAGTAGTCGATATGATCAATGACATTAAACAACATGATGCGCAACTCCGGCATTTTTGTCCGAAGATCGTATTCGATAGCACGCTCCAATGCACATACTTGACGAGACGAAAACGAGCGGATGTGTGCTGCTTCCAAGGCGTAGCACGAATGGTGTTCGTGCCTGCTTTGACAGTTGTTGTCGATTTTAATGATATTTTTGAAAGTTGGGGTAAAAAGAAATCGGTAAAAGGTAAGGTGAATACTATTGTTGTATATCACACCCGGGCATCGCACTGTTAAGTACATGTGGGAAAGCCAGCCTTTGTCAAATACTACGAAGTTATTAATTCAGTACGGTACGTAGTTGCCCATTTGCCGAAATTACATATTTACTTACTCCTTATGGTTTCAAATAGTTCATGCACCTCCAGTTAGATTTTTTTAATCAGTGAGGAGATATACTCATTGTTGATTGCTGCTCATTGTAACATACTATTACGCATTCACTTTTATTTGCGTATTGAATCAAAGTGTTAACAAGTTCACCTAACATTTCACTCATACCGGTCTATATTGTATAGTCTGATTTCTCAAGTATTTGGAGCCACGAATGCTTGTAATTTTCTGACTAAACCCTTTTATTAGTTGGTTTATTTTCCAAAATTCAGTAAAATATTTTTTAAATAAAACATGAGATATTGGATTTATTAGCTTTTCCATTCTGAATCATATAGACTGCTTTATTTATTCTTAACGAAAATTAATAAATCTCCTCTCTTTCTTCAGATGTGAAAGTTGTGGACAAACCTGTCTAAGCATTGTGAGACTCTTGCAGCACAAGAGGCAATAGCAGAAATAGTAAGTATATCAATCAAGAAATTAAGCCGACATAAAGCAAAACTTTCAACTATTCGTCTAATCTCAATTTCCTATTATTTATTCACAGGACAACTATAGCAGACGGGGAGATATCAGAAGTCTGGCGACATATCAGTGAGAGTGTGATTCCAAGAAATACAATGCAATTGAAAATAGAAAATTGCAATAGAAAAACAACCTATGGAGGCATGCAAAGACATTTGACCCTCCGGTAGAGTTGTGTATGGCCCCCACATCCTGCAGGGCTTGAGGAAAATAACTAAAAATTCCAAAGCGTAAGATTGCATAAGCGGTCTTATTTGTAAAAAGGCACAAAACACGCCAGACATACTTAAAACAGCTTTGGAAATGAGGATTACGGGTACCTCACTGCACCTGTGTTATATTTGGTTCATCAACTTTTGGTAGTACTATAGAAGAAATTCCGGAAGGGGTATAATCATCATTCATGATAAAATACTATCATATATTTTTTGAACAACTTCAATCTAGACCAGGGATCTCAAACTCGCGGCCCCAGAGAACTTCCAGTGCGGCCCTCGAACGCTTAACAATAATTGTAATAGTATTTTGGAAGTTTTTTTTTTATCTAAATGTAATAGATTTTTCAAACCTTCTAAAGTGAAATTGATTATTCACACAGAAAACAATTTACTGAAAGTAGTTTTGGAATATTAATTTTTTTTGTCCACATTTTGACCCAATTAAGAATACACATCAAGCTAGCAAAAGAATACTTGAATAAAACACTTGAGTAATTAAATTAAACGCAAAGTACACGAAGAAGGTGGCATTTTCGAAGAAAATGGGAGTTGTAACATTTCTGCTCTTCACAAAATTCTGAAGCACATTGTTTAATTTGTCATATTTCCATCAATACAATCAAAAAACACAATAAGCTCAGCAGTCAATATGACAAATTCGAAGACCAACTTCGAACAGAAAATTTCCATGTGTTTGTATATTAATATAATTATACAACGACTTAGTTACTAAAAATCAATATCAATAATAATTCAAGCAATCCTATGCCACGCAATGTAGTGCGAAATGTCTTGTCGAAAAAATCTGTCATTTGTTTTTTTACTGATCTATACATGAAATGATAAAAGTAACTTTTTTGCATTACTGGAATTAATTAAACATTCGTAAAGATCCAGATAAACCCATGATCATGTGGCCTCGTTAGTTAGAGTTGGTACTATAAAATCATTTCAGACTGGCCTTAGTATGCTGGTGACACAAAAAAGATGCCAAACGCCAGGACGAATGTAATTATTAAAACATTGAGTTTATACTGTAGTATTTTTGTTAATTTTAGGTTCATATATTTAGATTAAGTTATTTTTAGTGTATGTATTATTCTTTCCTTATTCAAAGCTTGTTCAAAAATGATTTTGATGGTTGTACATAGAATTTTACGATTTTTTATAATAAATACTGTAACTTGCAAATGTTGCAATAATAGTGGAATGCAAATATTAATATGTAATTGCATTTGAAATTGAAGAAAATAATAAAACTTAATCCAACTGTTTAGTTGCATCACAATATATGTCACAAACTAAAACTATCTTAAAAATATCTTTTAAGTATACATTATCAAAAACTGTTTGCGGCTCTTTTTACAATTTTCAAAATGCAATGCGGCTCTCGAAAACCCATGAGTTTGACACCACTGATCTATTCTAGACGATTCAAGCATTGCTTTGGGAAATTATATCACTTCAATTAAATTGAAATAATCTCGCTATATTAAATACAAAATCGTTGCTATCATAAAGGTAAACCAATTCAGCCACTCGAAACATATTGGCCTTCACAAAGCAATGGAGGCAAAATTGAGAGTTCATGAGCTATGAACATTTGTTCTTTTCTTTGTCTTGAACTTTCCATACTCCACAGCCCCTATTAACTTTTTTTTAATTTTAATTACCATGTGATGGTCATACATATCTTTAACTTGTATTTTCTGTCATGATGTATTATCTCAATGTGCCAAACTATTAATTTGTGTGCATATTTTGCTTCCAGATGACATAAATGTATTGTCATGTTTATTACCTCAGCTTGGAGTATTGACAAGAAAAAGGTGCCAGTAAATTAGGTAAAAAAATTTTCAACTCATTGTTATAATCAGAATTCACAATCAATAGGAATTATAAACAGCCAACAATCAGTGAGAATTATATGCGAAATCCCTCAGAATAAATTTGTCTAAAATCGGAGGAAGGCAAAAAATATAGGTAGTTTCCATTCACACAAGCATTTCAAGAAGACTTGCTCGAGCCAAACTAAATGAGCATCGTCAGGTGATCGGTAAGGCTGCAAGTTGAATTCAGCCCTGCAACCGCCTGCATAGAAGATAATATTAATTAGTGGGCTATGAGCTAAATTCCTAAATTTAAACAAACCTATCTACGATGCATTATGTACCAGCAATGTTACCTACGATTAACTGAATATGTAATATGTCTAATAAATTCACCTACAAAAGCAAGTTCGATAGGTGCAAACTTTGTGTTATGGAATTGTATCGCAGCACAGTTTTGTATGACACCCTCTTTAAATGAAATTTCAATGATTAAGCGCAAACATTAAAATTACTAACTTTGAACTTTGTCATTATCTGCAAAATGTTCCACACAAATCTTTCCGCTATCGCGTTTGTAATCTTCTCTGATAAAAAAAAACGTCTATGATGTCCAGAATTGCTCTTTACAGCTTGCCTGTTATTCCAGCTTTCCAAGTAAGCAAAACTTCTTAGATATAGAGATTATTTTGTTTCGTTACAGGCGCAAAAAGGCAGGTACTACACGTAAAAAAGACGCCGAGTAGCAAAAGCGAGCGGAAAACGGACGCGAAAGGCGACGAGAAATATGTGCATTGGAGCGTATCATGAAATACAATGTTTTGCCTGTAGTCTTATGGAGTGACGTCAGAGTTGCCTATCATGTTGTTTAATGTCATTGATATGATGCATTGGGTCTGATTCCAATGATGTGTTTTACTCGGTTTAATATACTGTAATTGGAAACGTGTGCCCTCGTCGGGTTAGATTTAGTGAAGTCATGTCATAAGCCGATTCTCCGGATTTAATTCAACGCTTCGCTGATCGAATAACGTGTTTTCCGCAGCAATGCTCCATCACTTTTTTCAATACGCGTCCAGATTTTAATGTCATTTGTCATTGGACTTTCGTGCCCATTCTGGCGTTGCTCTCTACTGTGGAGTTCATCGTGATGTATTGATAAAAAAAAGTTTTAGGAGAATTTGTATACAAAAGGCAAACTGCAAATCAAAGTCCTGCTGATGCTCATTATGTCTAAGATATATTACGTTGAAATTTCCTATATATTGACAGGATAAATTGGCGCGCATGCAGGCTTGTCTACGTTACATATTTTTCAGTCCCATCCCATAACAATTTATGCCTGTCTCATCCCATGGGACGTAGCACTTGGGATCTCACTCGCATGGATAAGCCTGGGTATGTGTGTGTGTGTACGTGCGTGTTTTATTTAACTTTATATTGCACATATATACATATATACATTTCGTATACTCCACTCTAACCCGTGTATGAGGCCAGTATGATATTGTGCATACATCCCGCCTTCAGTATCTATAATTACTAACTCTTTTATATTGCTTTTACGAGACGAATAAACATAAATACAATATTTTTGGGTGAGCGAACACGTTCCACTTTTTTGACAACAAAATTCAATCTAAAATCTGTACGTTTTAAACTTTACTTAAGGTTTTGTTTGCTTCCCTGGATCTGTAAAAGTTTTATTTATTTGTCTTGTTTTATTTTCAATTATTTTATCGCCGTTTACGCTGATTATGGAGGAATCCAACAAACTGGCTCACATGTTCAAAACTATAGTTTCTTCTAAAACAATAAACCACGTGCCGCTTATATCGTATTTCCCCGAAAATAAGACCTACCCTGAGAATAAGACCTAGCCTGACGTTTTAAAATGATTTTATTATAAGCCCTCCCCTTAAAATAGGACCTAGCCCTAGCCAATAAGGCAACATTTTTTTTACCTAGTCGTTAGCAAGAAATCTCACCTACTCGTTTTAATAGATAGATAATCTATGTTTTGCAGTTATTTAGAATAAAAACGAGTTATTCAAAAGTAAATAGATATCGGTTTTGATATTTTGTATATTGGAAATCTCGTAATTCTCTATCTTGTAATTTTGTTTTTGATAAATGAAAATATAAGACAAACCTCGAAAATAAGTCCTAGTGTTATTTTTCGAAAGAACCCAGTCTTATTTTTGGGGAAACACGGTAGGTACTGATAGCGAATTTAAGACTAGTCTATCGCATCGTTTGCGGTATAAATTGTAGATTATTGTAACTAAACTAAAGATCCTCAGAAGACTTAATGACACTTAAGTTATTGATTTAAAACTATTTTTGGATATACAACTAAAAACTGACAAATAACACACAAAACTACCAAAGAGATGCAATGTTTACAACCACGCTTGAATATCTGTTCGAGCGAAAGAAGTGTCTGAGAGGCGACATAAAAAACAATTGTTACGTCATTGTTAACTTATTGATGATTTGTAATTGTTACGGAAATAAACAAGGAAATCGATGCTCGGGGAAACATCCATAAACTCTTACTTTTATTGCTACTGGTCAGAACTTCGGCACAATGGGAGTCTTAATTACTAAAGAACCCATTTCGCACTGTACGGTACTTCCTCGCTGGTCTGTCAAACCCACTGAGCTCTCTAGTTAATACACCTCAATGGTCAAACCGGAGACAATGAAATGTCAGAATGTCATGTAACATTTATAGCCAAACATATTGTCGCGAAATTTTATTCTCGAAAAAGTCGGCTTTTTGATATGGTAACAGTACTGCAGTATCGTACGGTACCGGTATTCTCGCAAAAAAAAACACAACGTAAAAGACATTCGAACGAAAACTTAAAAAAATCTCGGCTATGAAATATTTTGAGGAAGTTTTCTCACCATGATGCTGATGTTTTTCTCGCCAACAGCTTTTCTAGCTCAGTATTTGTTGTTTTGTTGTTGATTTCTTTCGACAAAGGACGCTGCTATTCCTGCAATTCTGAAACTGACTACAGGACTAGTACCGGTACCGTACTCCGTAACTCTGAAGCTCCAGAACTCAGTAAGTCTGTAAGTTGATGCACTTGCTGACTTGGCTTGAAGTTAGACTACCTCGAAGCCAGGTATCATAGAAGATATCAACAGTGTTTCTGTTGATGTCAGAATACATGCACTTACAGACTTAACAATCAACATTTAAACAGTGAAATTCCATAATTTGTCTAGCAGCCATACCGTACCGTAGCCTATCTATGTCAGTATTTTTACTTGTTCAACTTTAGATATGTAAGTTGCAGAGTCTAATTCTGAAATTAAAGCAAAATTAGTTTTCAACATAAATTTAGGGAAAGGGCAAATAGCCTATTTGAATTAGGGTATTTTCATAAAATGGGACATCTTTTACTGCTATATCTGGCTGTAGGCCTAGGCTACTGCGTTATCAAACGGCAACGCCAACAAAAATAGTGCCTCTGTGGTCTGGTGGTGTCTAATCCAAGTTTGGAGCAATATACATAAAATATTTTATTCATGCTTGCAGCTACTAAAAACAGAAAAAGGTAAAACATACATTTTCGTCATTTTTTCAAAACAGCCTTTTAAGTTTTGTTTTTGGGCTACTTAAAGCCCATCCTTCTGTTATTGTTATTGAAATGTGACTGATAAGAAAACATGACAGCATGAGGTTACAGAGTTTTGCTCTGCAGAGAAATTGTATTACGGTAATTTTATGTTGCTTGATTTGTCGGAATACAGTGGACTGCTGGTAACCTATAGTACCAATAAGAGCTAGATTGATAACTCAATCTGATTTAATAATCCTCAAGATTTTGCTTATTCTTAACTTTCTGTGTGATTAACTTGCCATTTTTATGACAGATGTCTAGCCAGGAAATATAAAACATAGAAAATGAATTCTGCTCATGCAACTGAAGCAACTCCACAAGATGGGTCTAATCCCATTCTGTTCATAAATTTCAATCAAGATTTCACTTCACTTTCAATTGGTTCGAAATATGGATATAAACTCTATACTGTCAACTCTGTTGATAACTTGGAAAAAATATATGATAACGCAAGTGAAACGACTGATGTATGCATAGTAGAACGGCTGTTTTCCAGTAGTCTTGTCGCTATTGTCAGTACAAATGCACCAAGGAAATTGAAGGTATGATTGTGTAAGAATATGCTTTATTATATGGAATTAAAAAATTGCATTATCAGAATTCACACTGTCTTACTACTTACTGAATAGAGTGCGAAACAGCGCAAAAGAGAGGGAAACATTTTTCTTCCATGAAAGAATTATTTATTAGCGTCCGTGAAATTTTAAACAATTCGATGGGAAACAGTATACAGTAGTAGGGAATGATCACGAGTTTATATCAGTAATCGTCAACATCTTCAATAAATAACCTAACATGACGCAATATGAGCACACCAATAGGCAAAATCAAATTAATTTTTGAGCTCCAGAAGTATGTGCACCAAGATGGCGCACAACCTGAACACAGTATGTGTACCAGGTTAGGGTGCGTCATGTTGGGTTATTTAAAGATGTTGAAGATTACTGATATCAACTCATGATCATTCCCTACCACTGTATACTGTTCCCCCATGAATTGTTTAAAATTTCACGGACGCTAATAAATATTGAAAAAAAAAAGGTTTCCCTCTCTACTGCACTCTAATCAGTAAATAGTAAGACCCGAATTCACAGCATCAGAATTCTTCATTCATAATACGGTAATAGTGTGATAACTCAATATTTTACTGGAATTGTTTTTTGATTGATTTTTGTGATATTTTTTGGTCTCAATATTTTTTTAACATAATTGAATTTCTGTGAAAATTATGTGCATCATAATAATCTCTATATCAAATTCTTTATAAAAGTTATGATTTTTTTTTGATATAATGGCTGTTTTTTTAAAAATGACAAAAGCAATTTAATCAATTGCTCGAAAACTGTAGGAACTCTTAAATACTTTCTTGCATGAAGTATTTGCCTTCATATTTGGGTGATGCTCTCCAGCTACATTCCAGCTGAATTTCTGATTAAACGCAAACATAGAATATTTGATCGGTTCAAATTTGTATTTAGCATGTTCAATTGTTTTCATTTACTTTATTCTTCCGCACATTTATAATGATCTATATTTGTCTGCGCCTTTCCCTGATTTCTTTTCCGACCAAACACTTTTTCCAGTCAATGTGATACATTTTAGTACTCATCCATTCACTCTCAAAATGTATAAAGTACCATGTCAGCAGATCAGTGATTAATTTTCAATATGAGATGAGTGTTCTTAAATTGTATTCAAGTCGCTTTATCATATACATGATATTTTTTCATTTATAAAGAATGTTCATTTTTCATCTCTAAACTATTTTGACTTAGGTATGCCATTTCAAGAAAGGAACTGAGATATGTAATTACAGTTATTCGAATACAATACTTGCTGTGAAATTAAATCGTTTAAGACTGGTTGTTGTGTTGGAAGAAAGCCTATATATTCATAATATCAAAGACATGAAGGTTTGTATATTGTATTGTATGGCTGTATCCAAATCCTATATCGATAAATATCAATTCTTGTTATTGTAGTCAAATCAGGGATGAGAACTAAGAGTACTCTTATACTACTTATTGACTGAAATTATCTGTAAGACTTCGTGAAGATATATAGTCCTACTATCACATGTGTAAAATTCAATTTTGTATCAAAATTGCGATTTGCATCTGATTTTATACATATTGTAATTGTGACATAAACCTGTATGTTATGTCCTGTATTCTGTATACCTGTCATTGACTGAATTGACCTTTTTACAGCCTTTGTAAGAAATCATTCCATGAATCTTGGGATGTATGATGAAAATTGAAAAACTGTTTCGTTTTTGCAACACAGGTACTTCATACAATAAGGGACACACCACCTAATCGAGATGGTATATGTGCACTCAGTGTGAACAATAATGATGTATCATTCCTTGCATATCCTGGTAGTACTCTTGTGGGAGAGGTTCAAATATTTGACATCACTAATTTGAAGGTTAGTGACTTGATGGTATGAGTAAAATGAAATAAAGGCTCTGAGCCACCTCTGATTCATAAGCTAAAATGTGATTGCTGTTTAGATTGCATTGTGTTTGTCATTCATGATAAGTGTTACCGTTTACTCATTTAGTGTTAACGGGTCACCAGATATTTCATAATTTTTATATTTATTAAGACAAATGATTGATATATTGACTAAATTACTTTTCTGAACTTTGTTATCCAATTTCTATAGTTATTTAGTTCGAATAGTGTTTCTATTTTGCAAAATGTCTGTATATAGCCTAATTTTCACCAGAATCCATGATTTTGATGATTGTTAAGTTACTGAATTGAATTTTTGTCGTTTCAACAGTTCTTTTAATCAAATATATGCTGAAATAAAACTTTTAATTTAATTTTATCGTGCTAAATCAATACTAGATTTGTAATATTTTCAATTATTGTATTTTTTATACTGACCACAGGCAGTGATGACAATCCCCGCTCACGACAGTCCTCTTGCTGCCCTCACCTTTGACTCCTCTGGTACCAAACTTGCAACAGCTTCAGAGAGAGGTACAGTTATTCGAGTTTTTTCTATTCCTGATGGTCAACGACTTTTTGAACTCAGAAGGGGAATGAAGAGATGCGTTCGGATATCATCTTTAGCTTTTAGTACGGACTCTGTGTTCCTGTGCGCATCCAGTAACACAGAAACGGTGCATATTTATAAACTGATCGATCCCGGGCAGGAGAAAAATGCAGTCGCTGCAACAGAAGATGGAAGTACATGGATGGGTTACTTTAACAAAGTTTTAACCACATCCGCAAATTATTTGCCGACTCAAGTTTCGAGTGTACTGAACCAAGGTCGTGATTTTGCCACTGTGAAACTACCAGTATCTGGAACACGAAACGTATGTGCCATTGTTAGTATGCAGAAACTACTGCGTGTTGTTGTCGCAGGATACAATGGGTATTTGTACATATACAGCCTTGATGCCCAGGAAGGAGGAGACTGTTCTCTCATTCGTCAACACAGTGTTCTGCAAAATCAGTCTGATGATATGGAACAGGGAGCAACAGCGACCCCTGAACCTGATCAAGCTGGCGAATCTCCTGACTCTAACAAATATCAGCACTTGCCAACTACCTCAATACAGATTGAAGCCTCTGCATCACATAACATAGTGGATGACAAGTTATCATAGAATGGTATTGGAGGCAATAGAATGTTCAAAGATACATCAATGTAATCAGATAAAGACAAACTCAGGAGTTGCCAACACCAGAATAAGCCATGAGTACAAATTTAGTACATGGAAGATTTTTAAGAATAAGCAATCCTCTCATAGAAATATATCTTTGTCTTTTACAAGTTCGAAAATTCTGATGAAAAGTCATGGTAATGTGCCAATATAAAATCATACAAAGTCGGTAGATATTCATTATATATTTTGGGGGGATAAGTTTCGATGGAGGTATAAATGACAAAATATTACTCACAGATCTCAGATTTTCAACCTAATTTTCAATCATTCCATCTTGATTGGTTATTTCAAAGCTTTTAGCTTTGATTAGCTTTTATATATCTCTGTCCGATAAATGAGCAGTAGTATTAATAAAGCTGTGTGAAATTTTGCTTTTTATTTCGAATTCATGTTCCTTTAAGTCTCTGTATTGTAATATTCTTTTTGCTCATATTAATTGTTTTTATTTGTGACTTCATATTGTAATTGTACACTTCTGTTGATAAAGAAAGTCTGGTGACACCAATCTTCCCGATTTTAGAGATTCAGATGTCTAGCTATTATAATTGGCTATCAGTAATTAACCCATTTAATTATATTATTGTATTTGTTCGTTATAATTGTACAAATGATAAGTTTTGTATATTTATTGATTGTTTAAAGTAAAAGTGCAAATAAATCATTTGTAAATATTAGCATTTGTTTGTGCCCAGCGTGTAGGTGGTTACAGAAATGCCAAAAAAGGTACTCCTGAAGTATGCGCACCAAGATGTCGCATATCCTGAACCCCAACCTGGTACACAACCTGAGTAATCATTGTTGATCGTTAGTGGAAATTACTTTGAATCTATCTCGGTTCCGAAAAAAAATGCGAGTAAATCACTTTCAATTAACGCCATATATATGTAATACAACAGTATAGGGCAATTTACCGTATTTCACAAGTGTCAAGACCTAAATCAGAAACTCAAATGTGCCCTGTAATGTTATCATAAGAACTATAGACGCGTTGTTAGGGTATCGATGACTATAAGGCTCACAGGTAAGATAAGCGGAGTAATCTAAGTGGATGCACCCAACTATGAGGGTAAAATGCTAACAGAAAGCTCGGGAACCTGCTCTGGAACGCGTAAACACACACAGTTGTAAATACATGACTGAAACCTCATTAACACGAAAAACCATTCGGGCGCCCTTACTTATCACACTAAATTACATGCAGTATCCTAGACCTATGCTATAGAGAAGTCCCGGAAAAGTCTGTTTCCTGTGTAACCGTTCTAAGCTTGATTCTCAAAGAGAGAAACGAGCAAATCTTGACGACTGTTGTGCCAATTTGTCACTCTTTTGTAGAGTACCAGTATATAATGATTCCATAGTAATGTCACGTTCAAACTAAACTTGTTCCCACAGAAGACCAAAAACAGCTCTGTGCTATAATTCCAATACAGTAATTGAGTTTCACGTATAGCTACCATCCCATGTAACGTTTTCCTAGTATTTTGAATAAAATCAAATTGACACTGGTAGGCCTAACCATCCCGAGTCTCATCATCTCTAAAATTAAAATCGTCTGGGTAGGTCCTATATTAACTACAGAGTAAGATATTTCATTTCCATCATGCAAGAATCAATGTACGTTATTAAAGCACAAACTGATTTGAAAGGTTTATAATGACATAAAACATCATGACAAAAATGTAGGTATGATTCATAGCAATAAAAGAGGTAGTCGAGTCAGCGACGCTCAATTATTGATATTTTAAATGTAACATGTCATTATACAAATAACAGAGTATCTTCAATAAACTACTGAAATATTGCCAGTCACAAAATACTACTCAATGTTAACTAGCGTTAGCGCCTCTCCAATTAGCGAATCAGGCATTAGCGCCTCTCCAATCAGTTCGAAAAATGCCCTCGCCCAAAAAAATTTCGACGTTCTTCTAGGCGATTTGTGGCATCACTGACTTAACTGCCCCTCTCCTCAACGGGGGCTCCAGCTAACCTGACTCTCTACTTTTTCGTATAATTTTGGTCGATTTAACACCTATACTGTTCTTTTAAAACTGGGTTGTTCAAATGGAGATTGGAACAATCCCTACTCCTCATCAGGGCCCGGTCATTTCAAAAGATAGCCTATATATAGTATATCGATTTTTTTTTCGCATTATTAGGGTAAAAAACTGTTCAATTACTTTAAATTAGCATGTTTACTTTTTGAAGGGGGTAGAGCGGGGGAATATAAAGGGCAATCGAAGTGCCATAGCTAACATTATGAGATAACGATATAAAGTTGTCAATCAAAGATACACGGATTAGGAATCATTCACATTTGAATCATTCGCGACCCCATCGTCGACGACCCATGATCTAACCCAGGGGTTCTCAAACTTTTGGTGTTGCGGAGCCTTCGAAGTGGTTGACTATTATTCACGGAGCCCCAAAATAAATTTTAAAATTGTTACTTTCCGATTAATATTACGAGTAAGTTAAAAGTACTTTACTTCATTTAATTGCTAAACCTTTTTTAATAGGGTTAATACAAGTCATAAATAAATCTAAATTTTAAAGATAAATTATACCTAGTAAGGCTGTAAATTTGACACTTAACGAACATATAAATAAATTAGGGGTCGAATCTTTTCCCTTTTGATGTTTTTGGAAGACTTAAAAGATCGTTAATAACGTTCGCGATTGCATTTTGTTACAACCGCCGATTGTTTTCGTCAGAGTGACGTGCTTTTCAAACCCCAAACATTCTAATGTCTGTGTTTATTCTCCCTCCCTAAACCTAAATTTCCTTCGGCATATATATGTATTGTTCCACAATGACGACAATAATTGCTTTTTTGTTCTCGTGGGGAATTATGAGTTCAATGTGAAAAACATGTTATTTAAAAATAGGTAAATCCGCAACTCAAATTTCTTGATTGAAAAGCGGAATCATGAAATATATATTGAAACTAAAACTTAAAACGAAAGATACCACTATAAGTTTTGTTTCTGCAGATTCGTGACAGATTAAAAACGCTTTTTTAGTCGTTGTAATCACAAAATTTGGTGTTATGTTAGGTTTTCTTTGGTTATCCATCGTAGTAACTAAAATCGAAACACAGTCAATTGTGCGCGTGATGTGATGTAGCTACCTGCAATAAAATAAATTTCAATCTTTCGTATTTTGCCCAGACCTTGAGATTCTTTAAACGGCGATATCTTGCGAAGAATCTGAGTGGCGGACCTGCGATGGGGCGGAGTTAGTGTTGAAAAAATGGCTCAAATTTGTCGAATTCGCTATAATCTGCCGCTCTATCTGTCATGATAACGATTTAATCAGGACGGGCACAAATATCTTATCAAACTACTGGCACCAGTAGTAGGTATGTTCTTTTGTGGACAATATATATATATGACTTTGCTTCTAATATCTTATGATAACAGCGTCGTTCGGGATAAACGGTAGTCCAGAAGAACTTCGTTCACTTAACTTCGTTTCATTGTTTCTCATTTCATGTCCGCGGATTGTCGTGGTAATTTCAGAAGTAATGATTTTTATTGTCGTGAGTCGGCACAACTGCAGGTTACATTGAACCCAATTAAACCAATAAACAAGTCATTTCAAAATGCCCGCATCGGTCATGGGTTGCACAATTGTAAATTGTACTCATTGAGTTTTAACGCCGACCTGGTGATTTTTGAAACGGCGATATCTCGCTTAAAAATAATCTCGAGTGCGAAAGAACAAATCATATTTGACAAACCCCTAAAATACGATTTTATTTTATTTATAGTTGACAGTTTATCACGTATTTTATGTTATTTTAGAATAATAAACTTTTATTTCAGTAATCTCGAATCAAAATTGAGTAACGATGAGTACCATTAAATTATTATGATAAGACATTTTAAATAGTCGCATCAAGCATGGATTGAATATTTTACGCAGCAGAAATCTCGTTATCCGCTGAAATTTTTTTTTTAGTCGAAGAATGTTCCACGGGATTTTCCGATTTCAATATTGAACCCCCCTTCCTCTTAAAAATCCTGGCTGCGCTCCTGCTTATAAATAATTTTTGAATTCCGCCTCTATGCCATATTTCGTGGCTATACTGTTGTCAAATTTTATTAAAGCTGTTATTGCTTCTTTGAACAATTACAAAATTAGCCAAGTCAGTATTTTGAAAAGTAATCGAATAGCTCGCGGAGCCCCTGGGTTTCTCTCGCGGAGCCCTGGGGCTCCGTACGGAGCACTTTGAGAACCTATGATCTAACCGACAATAGGTCATTTTTTTCCACCGCTCGTCTCGGGCTAGTAGCACGAGAGAAGCCGAAAGTATAGTGTCAAAGCCCTCGATATTGGCCACGTTGTTGAAGTAGACCTAAGCAGGCATTAGGAATTGTATATTGAGTCATCGACCACATCCAATAAAGGCAATTTCGTTTACAACAGATTTTATGAATTGATTTTCGTGTATTCCATATAATATACAAGTATACAATATTTACAATACCTTGTGCTGACAATGCCACAGACCTACAATGTAAATACCGTGAAAGTTCAAAAGCCCACTGTAGGATTACCGAACAGTTCCGTACATACATCAATTTATGATATATAAATATTACAGTCAGAAGAATTCCACTGAATTTATTGAATTTATGTTAGTATGACCGATGAGATTTACAGAGACAACAACATACGTGTCATTATTGTATTGTTCATCATAAAGAAATCGGCGTCGACTTTTAGTGTCGAACAAGCGATCAATTACACTAAAATATCATATAACATTATCTCACCTTTATTTGCGATGAAGATTATTTGTTTAGACATCAAATCGATATTAAAACTTATTATTAATTCAAAAGCGTTGAACAGTGTAGATATTTTGCCTTGAGTATGCGAAAGAATATACTGTATATATTCATGATATTTTCCATGGATACAATAGTATTGTATATAGTGCGAGCTAAAAGTTAGGTCAAGTTTGGATAGAATTTACAAAATGAGTTTTATTAATTTTTGCCAGTAGTTTAGTCTTGACTCGAGGGTAGGGATTTGTTCAAAAAGAATTCTTTCAAAACAAATGTTTAAATCAAGTGTTTTTTGCCTGTATTGTTCAAAACGGCTGTAATATTTGATTTTTTTGTATTAAATATGTTGAAGGAAAAAGGATGTAAAAACTTGCCAAGCGCTTCTTATTTGCAATAAATCCTTCGAAACGCCACAATTATCGACTAGGCACATACACACCTTCTCAAGCTGTATGTAGTTCAGTGCGACCGCAAACGTGGTAGGCGCAGTAATACGTAACCGATAAGCAATTACGTGAATGACCTTGCGACAAAACCACCTTGCGAAAATTGAAATGTGATCTAATGAATCAGTTTATATAACTTTGAAAACCCCATCACTTCAACCTTGAGAACAAAGTATGCCAAGCCTAAAATAACCGTAATAATGCCTTTATTTTATGAGAAAAATGTCAATACACAAACTCGAAATCCTTATTATCGCGTCATCATAACAGATTAGTTACAGCGTCTTTGCACCAGAGGACTTACAATTAGCAGGGCCTACCCTAGCGCGTCTCATCGTTTAAATCGGTATATTGCCGCCGATGTAAGTTTATTCTTCATTATCGTAACGCACTCGTTTTGCCGAAGGATGCCCTTGATCCAATTAATTTTGTAGTAGGCTAGTGAGTTAAGTTTCATGATTTTTCTTTCTCAAAACCTCTCTCTGGTATCTCGGATAAACAATCCGGCTGAAATTTTATGACTTTGGTGTAGATACCATCGTGGCGAAAAACGTACGCAATGGAAATAAAAGTCAAAACAAGAATTGTTACCCACATTTTTGAAATTATAATTTCGGCAGCGTATGCAGCTGCCAGAACGCAACGTTTTGGCGTAGTTTAACGCGATGCAAGCGGTATTTCAATAAAAATAAAAAATTGATGTTTTTTTTAGAATTGATAAAAAACAAAACCCTACTCGAGGCATGCTCTAGCTAGGTTATATTCGATTTAGAGCAGAGATGGGCAAAGTACGGCCCGCGGGTCAAATACGACCCGTTGGGTGATTCAATCTGGCCCGCCTGACGCTGCCACATTCAAACTGAAACCAAATTTTGATGTTTTAGCTAAGAATAGCTCGAGGAATTTGTTGAGATTGCGGTTAAGTTCAGTTTTGGCACGAGGCCTATTGTATTCCACTGTTTTCAACTAGCAATAATCGCACCTCGGATAAACCTCATTGGTTACGATACCGCCACTGCGCAAAGCTGCTTTTGTAACACTGTGAATATTGTTCATAAAAGGTAACTTTTTACGTCATACATGGCCCGCCAGTCTAGATGGGCAAAATTTTTTTTGACCCCTGTTCCAAAAACCATGCCCACCCCTGCTAAAGAGTATATAGTCATGCAAAATTATTATCATATGCCGTAAGCTTCAATCTTTTCGTGCTGCTAATTTCGATATTGTAATTGTAACGTTTAGGTTCCTGGAAATAAAAAGAAGGCAAGATGGAAATCATAAAATGTTCACCGTTTCCTGCTCTTGAATCCTGAGTATTGCACAACTTCAGATGAAATGTTTTTAAAAGCTTTACCTATAGTTAACACTTGCATAACAGTATGAAGCAATGGTGATGATGAACGGGTATAGTATGTGTGGTAACAATCAATTCACAAGTAACAATCGTCTCAATTGGATATTACTGGGTTTGGATTGGCATCCTCAAGATAATTGGCCGCCTGAATTTTCTCCCTGGGAAACTTTTTCTTGGAGAAAACGTTCAAAGCGACAAGGTGATACAACGGCAAGGAAAGCATCTAAAGTTAAAACGCACACTACAAATGCTAAAAAACTCCGCCGTGGTGAGTGAGCTCATGCAATTTACTTTTTTTCTGCTTCTTTGAGTGTTTTCCAATTTTAATTCTGAAATGTCCAAGAGTGGAGTACGTTTATATTAAAAATTGAAATTAATTCAAGAACTATAGAGTATATAGAGCATATATATCTGCACCCACTGGTTGCTGCAACTTTCCTCTCATTTTTATAGCTCCAGCTGTCACGTTTCCATGTTTTCGGCAATATTAAATAGCTAACCAAACAGAAATAATTTACTTCGGGTTTTTTTCGGCATGTGAGACTCGGCTATTTATGATCTGCAAAGCTACATACAATCCTCATCTATTATTTTTGACAAATCATGCGTTTGATTAACGTAACGTTTGTAAACTGGTTGCAGGATCATTCAAGTTCCATTCTGAAATCGCAGAATATATTCGAGAATATCGAGCTATGAGAATTCAATTTATATCGGAATACAGAAGTTGTGCATGCCATGAACCCTACACATTAAAAGATGTTGAGGCTGCTTATGAAACATTGCAAAGGTTCCCTGGACAACGGTAAGATTTTGTATTTGACTCGCATCGCATTTTTAAAGTTATTTTTAATGCATTTTTTTTATCAAAAACTTGTGTTAGTAGATGGCTGCATATACTATAACTTGAATGGAAAATCCAGGGCATTGCTGAAAAGCTTGTGGTTTATGCACATGGACGTGAATGACAATGCCAAATTGAGAATAGTTGTCGTAGTAATCGGGAATATGTTGAAATAGAATCAGATTTGCACTTTTTCAGTATATTACATATAAATTTATTTTTCAGTATTACTTTAACGAGGAAAAAGAAAATCCCGGAAAAGAATGAAAACGGGTAATTATTAATATCAATTCGAATTACTTCAAAACTAAGCGATTTGACAGAATGAGCTTAGATATGAGTATTTTTCTGTCTATCATAAATCAATTTATTCAGAGTAAATTCAACAGTTCACAGAAATGAACAATGTCAAGAGCAGCAAACAAAAAAGTCAAATGAAGAAATTTTTTTATTTGATATGAGCAAACGCGATTCTGCCGGTATGGACTTCAATTTTTAATGTGAAAAAAAAAACGCAAACGAAATTTCAGTTTTTGTAATTTTGTGAAATTGTCTTGCCGTTTACTATTAGGTATTTCAACCAAGGTAGACTGCTTTGTTGATCAATACATTGGACGACATTTTTTGGGATTGAAAACTCAGTCTCAAACTGACGTTGCCAAGCAAGAACACTGTCCTGTTGTGGAAATAATTATTCCAGAGGATCACGTGGTTACTCGAATTTCGTCTGTGACACCGTCATCGCAGTCCTCAATCAAACTGCCACACTGTAATAGCGAGTCCTCTACACCGCTTGTACGACGTAGTTCGGCCTTTTCTCACGGGACATCTAGTTCGATAGGTAGTGGTTATTCAAGAATATCAACATCGTCGAATGTCACAAATCCAAGTACAATGGGTGTGTGCGACATTTGCCCATTTCCGCGAAGTGTTTGCACGCCTAAAGCGCCACTTCTATCCAATGATAAAAACAACATTATCAAGCAAGTCAGCAAGTGGAAAGAATCAGAAAAGCCCGATTTAAATGAAAAACAAGCAATTCCCTGGAAAACTTTAAAATACCTGGGGTATAACCCATCTATGAGAAGGTACTTGCATGAAATATACACTCCAGTCGGAAGAAATCGTCTCAGAACACCTTTGTCTTTGTCAAGTAAAAAGTGTTTTCCCACTGCTAATGAAGCAATAATAGAAAACAATGAAGATCAAGATAAGCAAAATACAATTTTATCATCTGCAATGGCAAAGACTACGATTTTCAAAAAAGACAGCAATTCTTTCCCGCATTTTCAATCGGGCAGAAGAACTTTTCTAATTGATAAACCTGTGAACCAATATACGGGTGAACGGAAGCCAAAGCTCGCTATTATTTCCGCATGTCAGACGGTTGTAAAACCGAAGGTAACCGCGAAGAGATTGGTTGCAAACTAGACTTAACTGGCCGTTTCACATATATATTCCAAATGCACGGCAACATCGGTGACACTGCCACTAACTTACTCGATTATAACGATGATAACCAAAGGTGCTTTGCAACAGGCTATTAATAGAATCTTTCTTAAATGAATTCACTCCATTATTCATTACGTTTTCATGTCATTGCCGAACCTAAAAAAAATACAAATAATAATTCGTAGTTACATGGCAGAGAGGACACAACATAATGTACCATAGTATTGAATAATATCTCAGCCAATTCTGATTCTAAAATGGCTTTTACATCACTACAATCAATTCTGAAGCGTACAGATGATTTAGGACTTTTATTCATAACTTAAATTAAATTTATCATCAAAGTTTTATACTAGTCATTATTTTATCCTCACCATTAACAATACATCGTCGTTATTGAGAGTTTTATATACATATATCATGACATAATTAATCTTTGAATGCCGTTTTTAACGATTTGGAGACTAAATTTTAAATAACGGAGGCTTTTTATATGGTGTTGATGCCCCGGGAGTTCAACTGCCGGAATTATTAATATATCAGTATCTAGCATTGAACTGAATTTCAATATTTAAATATATCCAAGTCAAGAGCAAATGGGCCACATCAGCAGGATATGAGAATATAACTTCGTGCCAGACCGCAGCCTCAAGTGTAATCACCGGCATAGGTCGGATATAATGAAACGTTTCAGTTCGGTATATTGCTAATGCGTGGACGTGATTTATGAAAGGAACTGTAATTAACCAGATTGCTTATAACTCCGTGACATCAATCAATCATGCCCTTTTTCGCTTGCCACCGGTAACGGCGGCCCACGCAATGGTGTTGTATTACATCAAAATGAAAATTCCAACAGCATGACGACCGCTGACTTAACATTGAAAATGATATCTGAATAAAGTTATCATCTATAACTTGCTGAGTTCATAACCTATATATTGTAAAGTTCTTAAATCTGCTGATAGCGAGTTCGATGTAGTTTAGACACTCATTAGTCATTCGACACAGGTATTCCCATTTTTATCAAGCGGCAACTAGTTTTTGAATTTTTATCATACATTTTCAACTTATACGAACATCTTGTTGGTTGGTTTATTCAAACTGATGACAGTTATGTACTTTGCCCATGATCTCATTCCTTATCGGATCTCCGCTCTAGGAAACTTTTATACTCTTTCTGTCTTTCTGTGTGTTTGTGTGTCCGGTTGTAGCGTCTAAATGTCTGGATCGGTCTGGATGAAAATTATCACGTGAGTTATTCTGTCAACCTAGTAATGAGCATTTAATTATTTATTGCCCGCAGTATTACCCACTAACCACCCATGCAAGAATGCCGACGAGACGTACGGCGCTCAAAACAAACTGGCAGTTTCGAGAGTACGCCAGGGATTTTTATTCTGGTGGGTCAATTTGTAAAATTGATACACGAAAATATTCACAATAACATTCTATTTTAGTGGGATGCCTGTCCTTGATTTTCCTCACTCAAAGCTTCAATATTTCGCTTGAAATTACGACTTTTAGCTGAACACATAATTCAGAATTATCAGTCGTTAGACACCTGCGATGCATCGGGGTTAAAAACGGAATAAAACGCAAATACCGCATGCGAGCAAACAATGATAACGCAAAAATAATGAAATAAAATGATAATAACGAAACAATGAAAATAAAACACAGCGAATATAACTACATGTTCCGCACCGAATGTATGGTATTTTTTTCATTATTTTAACATTTAAAAACCTGAACCTGTTTTAGAAAAAATGTTCAGGACGCCGCGTGCCGTATAAAATCGCGTGACATGATTGGCAGTTGGCACGCGTGCCCGTGGCTGCCGACCCCGTATCGCGTGGATGGTAACGAATTGCTGCAGGGCAGGCCTCAAGTATCAGCGAAATACTGAAGAAAGCAGACATCGCATGTGATTGCAGTAACACATATTGTGCTGGTAGTGAGGTGAAGATGTAAATAATTTATGACGATAAATATAAAAAGAGAAGCTGGTGTACTGACAGGAAGCAGGCCAGTTTAAATGAAACATAATGAGTAACTACAAAACTACAGCAACCCCCCAATATAAATTGAAAGGGAAAATATTTAATAATGATTCGAGTCATCTCGATAAAGCTGAAAACATACTTTGCTTTTCGTAAGTATTTACTAGATATTTATCGATACAATCCATGAAACCTCTTGTTTTAATTTCACGATGTCTTCCAATGACTCTTTATAAAGGGTTATCTTCTTGTTTTAATATTTTTTTGCGGTATACTTACTCAATTCCATTCATTATTGAACATGAACGATAGGTTTTTACATTTAAGTGACTGGTTCATTTATTTTTATTTCACGATAAAGCAGGAAGAATAATAATAAAAGGAAAAATGTGACACAGTGAATTAATAAAGTACATTTTCAGATAATATAAAAAAGAACAAAACAACCGCTGTATTAATGAATTCGAACGTTGGAGTCGTTTCTTCAATAAAGCATTGTCGTAGTCGGGTATTGTTTCAGACTCGGATACGGTTTGTCTGTTTGCTTTATATTGTTGGTCAATGAAAGATATAGGATTATCAAGCATAAAATACATAAAGTGAAAAAAAAGTTTTTTCAGTCAATAGGCCACAATACTAAAATTCGTCCATTCGGTTAGAACCGCCAAAGAAACAAAGAAAAATAAACTAAACATAAATAGTTCCAATACTGCAAGAAAAATCTCAACCGTTAAATTTCATTGTAAACTCCTAGAGTAAAGTAAATTTTGCAGGTTTATTTATATATATATTTTAAGGAAATAAATAGATCAAAGAAAGAAGATAATTGCAAAAGTAAATAGACAAGATATAAATAAATTATTCAAGTATTGTTTTCAAATTAAACCACCTTCGATAGTCACCGGGCATCGAAAGCCACAATCAACGACTAAATGTTTCAGTTCTAACTCTCCATTAGGTTCATTCGATTTCGCAGCCATTTTAAACAAGAAAGTTATGGGATCACCGTGAATAAAGATGTACAGGTAAGAAAAATGCACCAAGACATGAACCATTGTCGCATAAGCTAAGCCTGGCTAGAATTCTCTTCCGTTACGTTTGTGAATTTGCTTTCGGATACATTGTTATTTGTTATTACTAAAGACTGATCAACTTCAGTTTTACCTGGAGTAATAGAGTTTGTGTTATTATTAATTTTAGTAGAAGGGGATCGCGACATTTCCACCAATTCAACTTCGTCCTTTTTCGTTTTAACTTTAAATTTCCCTGTTTGTGGATTGAATTTTAAGTTTTTCCCTACAACGGGTCTGGATTCTTGTGAAGAATCTTTTATGTTTATAGAATCCTCAGATAAACGAGCAACATCAGATTTAGATTTTTGTAAAGTCTGATGCCAAGCGTTTGTCTCTGAAGAATGGAAATGTTTTTCGCTTCCGGAGTCTAAACTATCCGGTTTAGGAAGAGACACAGAAGAATTCTGTGTGTTTTCGTGTTTTTCCATATTCGTTTGCTTTTTGAGTGGTGTCTGAAGTATATGATCTGACTCTTGAATATCCAGGGAAAAATCTTGATCATCAGTTGATGCCTTTTCTTCAAGCGCATGATCGTTACGTATGACTTGTAGAGAAGTTGATGGTCGCAGTTGATCGAGTTTGGTTTTATTAGTTCGTACATCCATTTGGGCTGATTTAGCTCGCCTTTCTAATGAGGTTTTTCTTGGCTGCGGTGAATTTAATATATCGTCCACCTTTCCTGAAGCTTCATTCATTTTAATCGTTCCATTATTCATGACAACATTGTCGTGACAGGTTGAGTCAGCATCTTGGTCACTTCTTACTTCACCGTTTGTTGACGATGTGTTTACTTCATTCAATTTTGAATCGGATTCGCTTTCTTTAATCATTCGAATAGGTGATGATGCTAATTGTTTTTTGATGTCAGTTTGACTTGCATCTTCCACGTCAGGAGGGGCGTTCAAAATATTCTCATTTTCTGGAATTTGGGGTATTTCGATTTCGGCTACATCTCCATCTTTTGTAGGATATATATGGTGTTCAACTAAGGCTTCGTTTGGTTTAATATTATTGTTTTCAGTATGTAATTGTTGTATTTCATCGACACTAGGCAATTTGCTTATTCCACTTATTTCAGTTTTCAGAGTTTGTTTCTGAGATGAAGCTGATATGTCACTAGATAGTGAAAATGAATTGGATCGAGTAAAATCCGATGACGAAACATGGCTGAATATATCGGAGCTCACGTCGATTGCTCCTCGCCGTCTCCTTCCGTGGAAACCTCTCCACGCCTCCTGTGAAACAAATGATATTTTGATTCAATGAACGCTAAATACATGACAAGACTTTGTTGTAAAATTTCTTTGCATTTACTTACGACCAAGCGAGACCTAATTGTCAAAAATGCAAAAGGACAAAGAATGTACCTGTATGACTTTTGCTGCTTTTACTCTTCTGCGTAAAACAAGAGTTGTTGTCTCTGCTTTCAACGTTTTTCTATTTGGGAAAGACTTCAATAACCTGGCTTCGGCTTCCTCTCGCATTTGATCAGATATTTCAACTTCACCCATAATGCGTTTTACAAGAGCAAATAAAACGTCCAGACAATGAACTTTATCTCCATTGACTATGGGCAGATTGAGCGCTGCAATTTTAATCTAAAATAAAATATAATGATTGATAGTGTAAGCTAAAGTGGTCCGGTTTGGGTACAACCTTAGTAGTTTTCAATGTGTCTGAATACTTTCTCAATTGAAAAAGAGAGCAAGCAATGCTCAAATATATGGACACGAAGACCAAAACTAAGTAGTATTAATTAAATCTTTAATAGTAACTTTAAAGTGAGAAAATATTCACAAAAACAGTAACAACAACAAATTACCAAAACAATCAATGAGTCCATTTCGTGCCCGAAAATACAATAATAGTAGTATATTATACAAAGCAACCAACCTCATTCGGTTTTGCGAGTTGAAACGGTGGATGTAAACTGTGTAAGAGATTGGATAGCTCTGCAATTGAAACGAACTGAGAAGCTTTAGGATCGTATCTTCCCCACACCACATAGAAATACTCGAAATCATCCTGACCAACGCCAGATTCTTCCTGCTGAAATATTTCGTCGAAATTTTCGAGGATGATGGCAATGTACATGTTGACAACAACTGCAAATAAATGAGATATTAGTGACGATAAAGAGCACACCTGCCTATTGATAAATGTAAAGTATACATGTTTAAAAAATAATAAATTTAATATTTAAGCGACCTTTTGCAAAAGTCAATGTTATGGTCTCTATGCCGACCTAATGATAAGCTGTACGAATGGTCCCGAATGACCTTATCATAACGTATAAGTTCTTTGCAGCGTTTGATGGACAAGTCACGATTAGGAGTCGTGTCGGTTCGCATCGAGTTTAAATTTATCAAATAATATTTTTAAATGAATAAAGTGGTGCTTATTTGGCTGAATTATTTCAAAATCATATTTGGAGCTCAAATTTTGAGTTTTAGGTCAGGCCAAAAAATGTGGGTCTAGTCACAAATTAATGAGAAGAATTCAAATAACCAAAACTCTCACAAGTCGACAATTTATGAAAAAATTTTTCCTCACCAAATTCAAAAAACTCACCCAAAAATACTAAAAAGATGTAAGCTACAAAATATATGATAGCAAAATGATATTTTCCGCAATCCGCTCCATCGCAATCAGTGTCGTTCATGAGTGGATCCAATACGTCATTCCATCCTGCTGACGTCATCAAACGAAATAGAAGCATCATAGAATTCCCGAAAGTGCGGAAGTTAACGATATCGTTAAGAGCTCCTCGTAATTTCACGTCCATAAAGAATGACATACCTATGAATCAAAATCGAGCGGAAGGGATATTTAGTAAAAGAGAACGAAGAACTGAACGGAACACCAAACGAGTAAATGTGATAGATTAACTCATGAACTAACTAAATAACAGTTTTTACACCAAAAGAATAAGAAGCAGTATAATTTCAGAAGAAAAACAGTTGAAAATATATCACTGAATATGAGTTGTCGATTTATTGCTGGACATATGCTCCAAGATCACCAGAGCTGGTATACGTCTATCTAATATATACCGGTATATTTGATGAAGAAGTACAAAAGAAATGAAATATAATATCCAAACTACTGAAAACGTCGATTGAAATATATAAAGTAGTTTCATTTCTAGCTCGATAGAATAAAGCGCGTACCTAGAATAGCGAAGATGATCATGAATACTCCTAACAATACTGCAATGTTGAAAAGAGCTGGAAGTGAAATCATCAAAGTAAGAATCAATCTTCTGATTCCTCGAGCTGCACGAATCACACGCAATACACGAAACACACGGAATACTCGCACCACTCTCAACAATGTTGGAGATACCAAAAATGTCAATAATTCTTCAAGAATGAAACCTGTATGGAAATACATTTATAAGCTGAATAAAAAAAAGTTCGCATTGCAATATATAAGATGTGGACAGAATAAAGCCCGATATTGGTTCGTTATGGCACATGAAGCAAGTGTATTGAATAAATATTTATATATATTATGCGGGATATTGTACTTTGTTTGCAAATCAGTAATGTTTTAATGCAACCAGAATATGAATTGCAATGCAGCCAGAATTTTAGTTAGTTAAAAAGTACGAATATTACGAATCATTTGCGACGTATTTTGGTAGCCAAATATAGCGTTTACCTGTTATAGAGAGTATAACAACAACGAAGTCAAAGACATTAAAAGGATCTCGAAAATAGTAGAATCTTGTTCCAATAATTTTCAACGTCGCTTCAATTGAAAATACCGCAGTGAAGGTAATGTCTACGTATCTAAGCACTGTTGTCCATGTTTTTGACATCTGGTAATGTTCCATTGCTAAAGTGATCATGTTCAACACAATTACGGAGAATACGGCCACCTCAAACTTGCTGTGCGTCACCAATTTGAAGATTTTTTGTTGAGTAGGGTTCTGTATACACAAATAAGTGTATTAGTTGGGAAAGTAATAATTGTGAAGAAATGGAGAGAAAGTACAAGGGAGAGGGGGGAACCTGTATCATTAGCAAAATATTTTTGAGACTTTCCTCTATTTTTACACTTTTTCTAGTAACAGGTGGGAAGAATTGTGGGCAAGATCATGCAAAAACCTATAGGGATAAATTAATCGGAATAAGCTTTGTCTTACCTCTGGTGGTGGAATTGTTTTCTTGGGTTTTCTGTTCAACATTGTTCTCATCGTTTTATAAAAGTTTTTCTGACTTTCTGTTAGAAATGCTTCAACAGCTGATGATGATTCAGTCTACAAATAGAAGCAAATTGTTACCATCATACTTTTCCTTAGTGAAAATAAACCAACGCACGACGATTCAACGAACCTGTTTTCTTAGCTTCTGAAAACTTTCGATGATGACACCAACAATAAGATTCAATATGAAAAATGATCCGATCAGTACAAAACAGAAGAAGAAAACATATGAATATTTGTTTGCTTCTCTGTACGGCTGTTCATCAACATTTACAGTATCGCTAGCATCTGCCATTATCTCAATCCAGCCTTCAAAAGTAGCCTGCAGAAAGAAACAATACATTGTAACAATTAATCTAATAATACAGAGGCTACAAAAATTACAACAAATTTCACCTACAAATACTTGAACTTACCACTTGAAAAAGCGCTATCATGCCATTGAGTACATTATCGAAATTGATTCTCGGGGTGATCCATCTATAATCGGTATGTTGTTCGCAAATCGTTCGATTCGGTACAATAGTGTGGTTCAGTACATTGCCTTCTAAATCTTCACACCTACATTGTGTAAATATGAAATTGAAATTCATAAGCTCCGTACTCATGGAATTATTCACTTACTGTGGGAAGTAATTGGTAGAAAGCATGGGTTTATTATAGTGTTTACCGATAAATTTCGATTCCGTACCTGTAGAATCTTCCTTTGAATTGCTGAACTCCGATAATGCTGAAAACAAGCCATAACAGCATACAGACGCACAATACGTTAGCAATTGACGGGATGCAATACACCAATGCGTTAACGACGACCTGAAATAATTGAAAAAATAACTTTTAGAAGTTTATAGATTAGTGGAAGATCTATTAGATAGTGTATGACAATATACAGTTGCGAGGTATTGAGAGATGTTTCATATACATATACATAGTGCAAACTGGGCACTTTCTTGTTGATGTCGATCCATTTTTAATTATGCAAACTCCTGTTATGTAGTCTACATCTGAACAAAGTTATCTAGATTCCAGTCCTATGTTACGTTATACTAAATCGGCGCTTTGAAAACCATGGTCTAATCCTGTGAATTGACGAACTTACCCTCATTCCTTGCCACCTAGATATTGCACGTAAGGGACGTAGTGCTCTCAATGTTCTCAAAGCTTTTAAAGATTCGACTTCCCCAACTGCAGATGCTCCAATACCAATCCAGGAAATCTGAAATTGCCAATATTGAATAGCAATATTTTGCATTACTAGCACATTTGCGTGCGAAATATGAGAAGTATTATCACTAGAGTCTACTATTAATGAATTCTGGTACACATAGCAGCATAGCGTATAATATTAATTAATGCTTACCACGACGATGACGAAATCGATGATGCACCACCAATTGGTAAAATATTTGGACCATCCAATTCCGATCCATTTTAAAATCATCTCTATTGTAAAAATAGTTGTGAAAACATATTCCAAAATATTTAGAACTTGCACTTTTACTTTATCTTCTTTAAGATACACGTCTTCCATCGCCTGGAATTGAGAAATTGTTTGTTTGATTTTTGGGTAGTCACACAAAATCAAGCAAGTCTATCTTTTGTTTAAATACTGGATCTTTTAAATAAATTCAAATGTCTCTAGCCTAAGTAAAAATAATATTATTTTCACCAAAATTGGTGTATTGTTTGTTATACGTGATCTGCGGTGCTAGAAGTATACGAAATGTAACCAAATGGCTTACGCATAAAGAGAAAAAAAGGGAAACATATGAATGCAAAGGCAGAAACTGTGTAGAATCCAGATCGGGCCACCTGATGTTGTAGTGGGAAACAGCAACTCGGCGTCCCAAATTACTATAATACTCAACCCAAATGAATTTTTTAAATTCAAGGTGACTGTTAATTTACATTACGCCTTGTATTCAGTGAATGATTTCGAACGATTTGTTTGTAATTAATTATTTAAAGTTTCTAGTTTTTACTTACCAAGCAAACAGTGCTTGCCAGAATGATGAATAGAATGAACCACTCAAATATTTGATGACTAACAACTCGAAATATGAAGTTTCGGAATATTTTCCATTTTCGAAACAGACAATTTTCGCCATATCTGTCGCAGCAGTTGCACCTAAATTAAAATCAATGTCACATAATACTTTAACTTGATAATATAAAAATGAAATGTGTTGAACCAAATTATATAACTAATTGCGGAAACATTTGTCACATTATTTTAGCATAACTAAATACTTAAAATATCAAATAGTGCACTGTAATCTAGGTGGGACGATATTATAGAAAGTAGTATGCGAAATAACTAATTACCACATCCAAGTCAAAGCACACATTCCATTGAAAATGGTCATAGTGAACAATAATATACGCGAAGCAAAATCTAGACGATAAAATGTTCGAGCAGTGTTAACGATAAATGTTATTTCACCTTCAATTTTAGGCATTGTTGTCCAGTGTACAGAATCTCATGTACTATATACTTATTGTCACTTATGATGCTTTAAAATAGCTACACAGCATAATATCGTGTTGAGGGTTAGTTCCTGTGTTGTTTACAATTTTGTCAATTCTATTTTGTGATTGATGACTCTTCAGATCAAATTACTCGAAAACACTGACCAGTGCGTATATTTAGTTCGAAGTTCTTTTGTTCAATAATCATCCTGTCATGATTGACAGCCTGACCGAATGACAGGCAAAGGACACAAATAATTGCACAAAAATAGTATCTCGGTTTACAACTCATTTCACTTATACATGGGGTATGGAAAAAGCTTGAAAATTACCCTAACCTCGTTCGGTTTATACCGGCATTTATCATTTACATGTCTAGTTTTACTGACGTCGGTGGTCACTTACGACAATTCACTTGGTTTCAATTGTCTATGCCAGCTAATATTGAACATGCGTCAGTTGTTTACTGAAGATGAATATCACTCACCATTGAGGAAAACAAGATGGGGCATTCTTCGGTTTTGTTTTTTTCTTCTGTTCATGTTCCATGTGATTTTCATATGGCGTGTCTTCAGTTTTTTCAATGGCCACTACCGATTTTACGTTTTCCTTCTCATTTTCTCCACACAAGGAGGCACAACACTTTTTGTACCAAGGTAGCTTTATTTGAACAGCTAAATCTGATTCTTCAATGCCATTTTCTGCATCGCCTTGTCTTTTAGGATATACCTGTAAAATATACATAGAATTATATGCCACTGAAAGTCACAAAGTATTCATGGCTTATTTGAATAACAATGCAAAAATTTCGTCAATGAGTGTATTTTGTATTTCGTTCTCTACCTTGCTATTTCCTGATACAGCAAAAGTGACTTTCTTCGAGACTGAATTATTAGCTGCATCGTTGTCTTCGGTACTGTTGGGTTCGTTCTCGTCAACTTCTTGGATTGTCATTGGTACAAAATTTGATTTCTTTATTGTGACAGGAGAATCCTCGCTGAATGAAAAGTTACAATACAGAAATACTTACATTTACAGATATGTTTGTAACCTAAGGAACTTTCAAAACTATTACAAGTTTGAAAGTGGGTATTGAAAAACATGTAGTAAAAACAGTAGAAAAGTGTTTATTACAAGTTGTGCTGTACAATGTTCAAGTTCTTGAATGAGCACCTGATAATGGTAATGAGATGACTAAATTTCTGTTTGAATATAATGAGCCCCCGTCTCAAAATGCTCCCAGATCAAAATGTAAAGTAAAAATGTAATAATCGCATTAAAGTGGAGCAACAGAATCAGAAAATTTGCCATAATAACGTGAGCAATGAGTACGAGCAGGTAGTCAGTGAGTAAGAATAATTCATATCTTAAATTCGTGGAATTGGAGATAAAACGTAAAAATGGCTTTGTTTTCGCAGAAAATTGACAAAAATATGCCAGAAGCAAAGTACGCAAAAACATAGCTAGCGATCAGCTGTAATACACACAGTTATTTGGTCATGCTACTCTTTTAGCATACAAAAGAATTTTGGAACAATGCCACAACGGGAGGGAAAACAAATACGTTCCAGAAACTATATTGTTACAATATTCGTCATGTGGTTTGGTCAGATATAGATGGTCCTGAGATACGAAGCACAACCGAACATACGACAAAGCGATGTAATTTGAGTATATAGGATTGTATAGATAACAGCTCTAATTCAATCAAGGCCTAAATCAATCGTTTGATCCGATATTTCGAAATGACTTTAATGGCGAGAGGGTTGTCAAAATCACTTTAATGTACTGTTTAACAAACAGAAAGCAACAAAGAAATGTCACAATTTCAGTGACGCCTTCATGGGTCACGAACTCAACCATTAAGATTAAGGAATTCCTAAAATCATTGCCATCATTTCATAAAAATTATAAATTCAAAGTTGAAACAATTGTTGTCACAAGAAAACACTGTGCTGTAGCAAATTGTCAGTAACATTCTCAGGATAATATTTATCTGGTTTGTTGAGTTTAATATATTTGAGTGATACTAAGGTATTCTTCCAGATAAAAATAAAGTAAGAAAAGAATGATAAAATTACTTACCTAATTCTTGACTGCTTTGTCAATGTCCCTTGCCTACGTGGTCTTGGTCTGAACGGATGGTCATTTGGTGGGCTTGGGCTGTCTTGAGAAAACGATCTTTTTAGTGGAGGAGGATTTTTCTTTATTGTGATACTTTCAGAGTCTTCTTCGGAACTCTCGTCGAGCGAGAGTGCTCTTTCTTTTTGAGTTGCTCGATGCAGAGCAAATATGTCAGTTGCAGACATCGATCGTTTAGGTGAAGAAATCCCAGAATTCAAAGTATTTGTGCTGCCTGTAGTTTCATCGTTGTTTTTAGGCTCTGAAAATGTTTAATATGGTTAGTCGAATAGGATATAGTTACAGCTAAAAAACATTAAATATAAAATAAATGAAGATAGAAGAGAGAGAAGGAAAAATGAAACCACATACCGTTCGGATTATGCGTTCCATTTTCTTTGTTTTGATTATTTTCATTTTCCTTGCAATCATTCGCAGCAGTAACATCCACTGACTTTCTACTTTGTGATTTTTTCAGTAATTTTCGAAATCTCTCGACCCCCTTTTAGAATTAATATAAATTTTTCATTTGATTTAATGCAATGTTACTACAGAAATATTCGTAAGAACAGGCTTTTTAAGGTTTGAAATTTGTCTGGTAAATATTGTGAATGTTTTATTTTAAATATAAGTACTTTTTGAAGCTGGAATATATTTTTTTAAACCATACTACAGCTTATTTTACTTAATATGAAGTATTTTTGCAAATCTTGTCGTTCACTTCATAACAAGAACGCGATAAACCAATTTGACATGCCTCCGAGTAATACTCATCTCTCATAAAATAGCAATAATCGATAAATGTTTTTCTCACCAACTTCAGTTTAGCTGTTTTTTGATCTACTTGTTTTGACTTGAGATTATCAACGTTGAAAGCTTCCAATAATATAGCGGTGAAAAGGTTTAACACCTACGAATGAAATAATTTTATTATTACAGAGATATCGCTTCATCAAATAATAGGGGACAAGGAATAAAGGTCCATTGTAAGTATTTGTTATTGAAACCAGCCTACAGATATATATTTTAATTTCAAAAAATAATTAATCACTTTCATTATTCGATCGGTAGATGGAATCGCCCCATCGCAGTATTTGGTTTGGTCATGACATAGAGAAGACAAAAAAGTTTTATTCAAAATATCGATCAAAGTCATAATTAAATACGAAGAAAATACAAAGTCATAAATTTTAATTAGATAGTCGCACGCCAGCAAATATGAGCTTAATTTATTTATTCGAGCTATTTCATGTTGAGTGGCCGATCCATGGTTTTCATTATGCTTTAAGAACTTTTTTAATAAAACACAAAGGGGTTGTTCCTCATAGTAGAAAGCAGCTTTGGGTAAATTATCAAAGCAATCAAATAGAACGATAAACAATTTGGCGTATTGTAGTGTATCTTATTGTTCTTCGAAGTTAAAAAGTAAAATATATTCAAGCAATACCAAGATTCAAAAATTTCCGTGTTTTATCGCACGTACTTTTTTAATATTGAAGGGAATAAATATTAAAAGTACTTTCCAAGAACTTGATGCTTTGTATCATAAATTAATTTCATTATTGAAATAAACATACAAAGTTGACACTGAATGGATTCATTTCATTTATTTAACTACGTAAATTATTTTCATGGATTGTAGTATTAAAACTAATAATAAATAGAATGATGCGCCGAATAACCATGAATGCTTCGCTTTTACTGATAAAATATTTTCTGCAATCAATTTTTGATAAGAATTGTGAATTATGTAGTGAAACTTACAAGAAAATTCCCTATGAATGTCATCAACAAAAATACGGGAATGCATGAAGCATCAACCAACATCATACAATCGTGTAAAGGTTCTATCCATTCACCACACATAACTCTCCAAACTAATAGAAACGAATGATAAAAATCGACGAAATTCCAACGAGGAACCTGACCGTCGTCGAATTTATCGCCTGAGTTAATGTAAGCATGACCAAAGAGTTGTTTTCCTGGAAAAGATAGACAAACATATTTATTTGAGGCATTAAATGGCTGAACAAAGTATAAATCCTAAATTTTCACAACAATAAAAAATTAATCACTGTATTTAAAGGCACCTTAAATTTACATTGGAATTTCTTCAAAGCGAAGCCTATCAAAACAAGTATGAGTCTACGGGTGGAGATGGACATGAGCAATATACTCATCAGGTACGTTAAGAGTAAAAAAGGGTTTCACTGTAGCATATTGGTGAACGAATGTGCACTCAGGCAATATATGTTATAGTTGTGGTTGGGCCATTGTTCAATTGGAGTGAGTAATTCAATAAATATTAACAGAGAAAAAAATAATTCTGATATGAGTATCTTACCTACAACAGCAAATATGAAAAGCACCATAAATAGTACAATTGTTAGATATACAACGGCACTCAAACTTTTTAAAATAATAGACATCAGTTTTCGCATAGTTGTCCAGATGCGTGCAAGACGAAATACTCTCATCTGCAAAAAATAGCAAATTTAATTATTTCTCGTCATTTGGCATCAACAGCTAACGTCATTACTCTTTTGTGTAATATCTGTCAACTTGACAGAAAACGAAAATATAATTTGCAATCAATCGCCTTGAAATCAAAAATGATGCCGCTGTATGCTTATAGTACATTTTATAAGACGTTCTGCCTGCATATATCTCATTATATAATTTTTTTCTGATGATAATCGATCTTTATATAAGTCTTTTTATTAGATTTTGGCTTTTTCACAAAGTTCTACGGTAATTGCGTCGCTCAATTGTCATTATTAAAATTAATATATCATGTATATAAAAATTAAACATGGCAGCGTAACAATACATATATGTGTGTATGTTGGTATAAAGCTTAGTACAATTTAGCTTTTCAATAAAAATCAATCAAAAGGGGTTGTAACATATAGGAACAACTATTGAATGATGACACCAATCATGCTACCATCAAATTCCTTTTTACCAACTTACCAGTCTCAAGCTTCTCAGAACTGACAAAGCACCGGTACTGGATGGAATCATAAATTCAATAAGACTTATTAAAACAATTGTAAAATCAAACACATTCCAAGGATTTCTGAGATACTCAAGAGGCGACATGGCAAAAATCTTTAAAACAGCTTCGATTGCAAATATTCCAGTAAAAACCTGTTAAAATATGAATAAGGAAATTCAGTGTCAGCACTATGTATTACTAAATATAAAACTGAATATCTAAACCTTACAGCCTTTCGCAACAACACATTTTATTAAATTACATGAATACGGTCATACTCAGTAAAGATTTCACAATTTGAAATACTTGAATCTTTAAAATATTTTAAACGACAAGAAAATATAGCAAAAGAAAGTAATATAAACTTACATAGTTTCCATGAATGAGAACGCTTTCGAAAGTAGGATGTATTTCATGATGATCCATAGCAAGAAATGCTGTGTTTGTTAAAATACTGAGGACGACAATACCCTCGAATAGTTTATGTTCAACAATCTAAAAAGCACAAAGGAATAGTGACAAATCGTACGTACAAATTTCTGTAAATAAAAATATGCACAGTTATGTACAAGTGATGAACATTACAATGTGCTGATAACTCAAATATTTCAAGTAAACCATTTGCGTCAAGTAATTTTATAAACTGAGTGAATCGAGAACTAAAAAAGTTCAAAATCTTCTGATTCGTAAATAAGACAGTTCGCAATTGTAACCCATAAATGTAATTTTCAATCAATAATTATTCACGACACTGTCACAATACATGGATACAAATATTCTAAGTCTCTCTCAAGCTTTGAAGTTTTTTTCTTGTCACCTGACGCACACATATATTTAGGTCTCTAAACTCTAAAGTATAAATGAAAAGTATTCTATGCCAAATATCAGCCATGAAAATAGAACAGACCGTGCCTTGAAGGTCCAAACGATGTAGTAAATAGAAAAAAAAATTTGGCAACTAGAAAATCTTAGCTCTGATATCTTTGCCATGATCCAGGCAAGCTAGAAAGTTGGGCTTCAAAAAATATTTCAAAAAATTAATTTAGCCACAATGGCTGAGATGAAAAATTCGTTGTCACCTTCAGAAGAAAGTTCTGGAATTCAACAAATCTTGGGTGACACGACCATGAACAACATGCTCCATGGAATGAATTATATCTCTTACAAATCCATTTCTTCCATTCTGGTACAGTGCTTGAGGCTGTTAAAAATATGGAACGAATGAAATAAAAACTAACAAAACAAAAAACATATAAAACAATAATAATGCAGAAAGGTCTTGTAGTATTGACATGACTAGAAATGACGTTTTTCCATAATATATAGAAACAATAAAATTATTCTCATCGACACAAAAAAATTGTTTAATTTTAAAATATTCAACATATCGTCTGAAGTTTTAATTACGGAGAACCTCTCATCCAGAAGTGATTCTGTTAAACCTCAAATATAATAAAATAGATAATATATAGCAATGTTCAAATTTGAATGCATAAAAGGTAACCTCATATCTAGCTATTAGAAGAGATTCCTTAAAACACATTTTCTTACCTGATTCAGAGCTTTCAAGCGATATATTTTTTCTGCTACTATTTCGAAATGTCGCTCTTTTAGTATCTTTTGAATCAGAAAGTTTTGAATAACTTGGCTCTCTCGTCAGTTGATTGTCGTTTTGTGATAAATCCCTTTCCGAGTTTCCTTTTATAACTATCGGAATTTGAGAACGAGAGTCCTGCTCTTCTGTATTATCCTTCTTGATTGCACCAGAAACAAAATTCCTCTTTTTTTCTGAACCTGAGTCGCCATTTCCGGTATTGACGTGTAGGCCACCATTTTCAGCACGCTCTCGCAAAGATGACCCTATTTGATGTTCTACGACGTCCCCGAACGAAGCAGGTGATTGTAATTTCTGTTTCGCCCTTTCCATAAGCAATCGACGTCTTTTGTTTCTGCGACGTGCGTTTTCTTTAGCTCTTTCGCGCATTTCGCGCAGTTTTGTCTGTATTTGAAATTACTACGTTACTGATACAGAAAAATAAGCTTGAAATGCTTGCTAGTCATTAACAGCAATAAAAATAAAATAATAACATTTATAATTCTAGAATGATTATAATATATTCCGTGTCTAGTATAAGCAAAGAAAGACCTCGGCGATCCGTAATTATTGATTTATTCTTTATTGGGGAGAAATCGGCTAGAGCAAATTATTTTACCTGTTTTTCGTGTTCTTTACTGTAAGCAAGAGTAACGACCGCCAATAACAAGTTGAGTAGATAGAAAGGCCCCAATATGACTGACATAAAAAAGAACAAAACGTTCCACGCACCTTCCGCACGAATAATCTAAAAAAAATGCTTTTCTTGAGAAAATGAGTATTAGTAAAGGCATATAAGCAAAAATTGATTAACGCTTATGATTCGAAAAATATTTCTGATAACCAAACCAAGCAGTAAAATGGGTGGAATTGATATTGTCAATCTTGGGGAGTAATCTTGATTTGTATTCGCTTTAGTATTGCTAATATTTTTTAGTTTTTATTATAAATATAATACTTATTTATCTATGTAAACGTTATAAACTACCAAAGCGGGAGTGCAACTTAGGCGAAAACTAGCTAAGGATCCATTAGAGATTGAACCAATTAAGTAATTTTTATACCTATAGTGAAGGAGGGATGAGAATTCCAAATAGGCAAAAGGGAGAAATTTATAAGAAAGGATTGGGAATCACTGGCTTGTGGTTTAAAGTATCACAACGGTTTTAGTCTTCAAATATGAGACCTTATTTCAAGGTGTCAATGCTTGATATATATTGCACTAAGATGATCTGTAAATATTTGTATAGGATAGACGACGCTTAGAAATAGGTGTCAGTATAAACAAAATGTAAGATTACAGAACTTTGCTACACTTCCTCATCTGATTGGACAATGTTGATATTTCTTATGTTAAACCCATCAGTGCGTTGCTTATTTCAAAATCTTTTAATCTTTCCGTTCATATCAATTATTCAAATATCTGAACTCGCTAGGAACAAATTCGGGCTTTGGCTACATTTTTATGTTATTTGCCGGCCTAAGGTTTTCATGTACGCTAGACTTTTTTGTGACGCTCTGTATAGGGTGTGATAACTTGGGTGTTAAATACTCATTTGATCGAGGTAGACAGTCACGTTTGTTTAAGAGCTGGCTGATTAATCTCTCAGACTCTCGCTCACAGTAAGTAGCTTTCTAAAATCCATTACGAAATATATCTCTCAACTTTTAATCCAAAAAAGCAGAATCTCTTACGGAAGTGGAGGACCTTGGAATTCTTAGTAATTGTTAATACAATTATAGTAGATTTTACCATGTTATAAACATTCTCCCAAAAGTCTAACGTCAAAAGCTGAAATGACGTCAGCATTGCCCATCCAAAGTGATCGAAATTAGTAAGTCCGTGATTTGGATTTTCACCAACGTCCTGCATACACACATATCCATCAGGACATAGTCCACTCGAAGAAGCGTTGCCGCAAACTTCTTTCTCTCCAGACACAGGATTCCAATTATCTAAAAATTCGAACGGAATATTTATAATGAACTCGCTCAATACATGATGGCTACAGATCCCTGCAACAAACAATATGAGAATTGAACATCTTTCAAGAGAAATTTTGCCTGAAAGTAGATTTCCCTCTGTTTATTGAAACGCAGATTAAATTGTATTGTAACTGCTTAAAACACGAATGCAAACACGAAGGTAATAGTAAAAGAATCAGGTCGAACGATGACTGAAAAAAATCTAAAGGCTATGTGAGAATCGATATTGATACTTTTTATCAATTGGAATATTTTCCGCAATCGTTCGCTTACTTTTTTCCATTGTTGCACAAACGAACTGGATTTATTACATACCGCAACCAAAATGGTTTAGTATCTCCCCATCTATAAGAAGTTACATAACCGAAGCGTATTAACTATCAATAACTAATAATCCTCGAAATGAATTTTAAGAAAATAAGTATTAGGCATAATGTTTATTTGTATTATATACTTACTGCTATCTTGTACATAATTATTGAATTCTTCTGCAGTTAAATTATCAGCCGAAGGCAAAAATTTGACGCATTTTCTTCTTAAAACACCTTGATATGCCTGCAGTGCGATGAGTGATATGACAACGACGAGAAATAACATGATTACCATCACTTCAGCTAACGGCTTTAAAGATTGCAAAAGCGCGTTTACAATCGTTTTGAGACCTAAAGATTAAAAGATTGTTCGAGAGTGAAATGAACCGAACTGAAAATTGTTAATTACTTTTCGACATTCAAGTAAATTTTGCCCTAATTAGCTAACACCCAGCATCGCAAATATGGACCAAACACAAATTTTCTTCAAAGTTTGAATCATAACCATATATATATGGTGAGGGGTCGCTAGAAAAGCAAAATAAAATTAAGGGCAGTTGAGATCACGAATACGATCACGAATCTTTTTCGATACGTTTTTATTCCTTTTAGATTCTAGGTTGTTTTAGGTTGATACCTTTTACGTTCTACTTGATTTCTGTAATATTCTGTGATATATAAAATATGCCCTTAAAAAACTTTGTAAAAATAAATAGCTGTTTGACAAGTTTTCTGTTTTTCTAGCGACCTGTATACTGGTCCAATCATATACTCTACCTGGAACAATAGTGAATGATTTGAAGGCTCTAATAACACGAAAAGTTCGCAATCCCGACAACCCTGATAAGCCGATATTTGCCGATATAATAGTGAGGAGTATTGTCACCCATCTGAAACAATAAAATATAATTAACATACATATATATATATATATATATACATAAAAAGATAAAACAAACACTGTCGAGAAATTTGTGATCGGTAGAGTGATTTCAAAATAGTGTTCTGTTCTCTGTTTGTAATGATAAACTAGAATTTCTCAATATTTGTATAGATTTGTTAATTCATTTCATCCCTCATTTTATCTCACATGAAAGAATTAAGTTTGATACTTGGTCAAAAATTGGATATTATAATAGCTATACGCTAAAAATACGATACGATTATCTTAAATAGATAACTAAGTCGACCATACTGTGGTACGGGTAAATTTATTCATGTGAAATAACGTTTTCTCTTTAGCCATATTGTAGCTTTGTAGTGATATCAACCAGGACTTTGAGGGGACTTTAAAAAACTATTTCAAGTAATATTTTATTAATACGTTTCCCCGAGAACCAATATTTATTTCTGCCGGATGGTGATTAGACGTTATTACTGAAATTCAGCAAAGATCGGCGTTGCTAGCCAAGTGCGAACACTACTTCTGTGTACTGGAAAGTTATCCTATATTGTTGGTGAATACCGCAGATGAAATTGGTAATTGACCCGTCGCAGACGGTACATGGCATGGTGGTTAATTGAGGCTTGGCACCATTGCACGACACGTAGTTGAACTCTTGCATACTCGCTGTTGTTTACTTGTTGTTTATGGCCACACAACGAACAAATTAACCTACGCGATCTTCGCATTGTAGTGCCAGTGGTGCAACCAACGTGTATGCTTGGGAATTGGTATCTGTGCTAATCTTTACTGAACTAAAAGTTCAAATGGTAGTATACAATACTGTAAGCACAAAACTAAATAATTTTAACTCTCTAGCAGTTGGAACACAAAATCTTTATGTAAAAATTACTTTATTATAAAGCTCTTGCGACGTCAAAATTATTGAATATTGGAGGACAATCTACTGATTTCACAAAATAATATTATGTGTTCAACATCTGTAGATTTGAGAAACACTAAATCTAAACAGAACATTAAATAAATAATGACTAAGTATGCAGGTAAAATAATCACGAAGGTTGTAAAACTTACGCAAGCATGACAACGATGAAATCCAGCCAATTCCAACCATCACGTAGATATGTAAATTTACTCAAAAAAACTCCTCTTGCCAACATTTTTATGAGCATTTCACAGGTGTAAATTGCAGTGAAAACGTATCTGAATAACAATACATTTGATTAGCATTTTTCTATCAAGATCAAAGTGCATAATATACCGGGTACAATAGCGTTACTCTATCATGCTCTGATGCTCAGTTTCTCTTGCTTCATAATTACGCGGGAATAATTTCTTTTCATATTATTACATCGTGAAATAGAAGAAGCCAAGCCTTGTACTGGAAATGCTCTTAAAAAATTTTTCGTGCAAGTCAATTGCTGGGCGCCCATTAATCAATGAATTCAAAACGAATCACAGCCAACTTCAAAAATGACGTAGTAATCAATTTGTTCGTCATATTGGAAATTTTGACGCATTTGCTTATTTTTAGTTTGAAAGAAATAACGTTTTAATTTAAAAATATTAATTTTGCTAATTTTGTATAACTCTGCATGCGATTGAAAGAGGCCGATACAATGCGCCAGAATTGTCCATAAACACTTGCTTGATGAAATGGAAACTTCCGTCGGCATATATTGGCGACTTGGTTGATATCACCATATCACATTTCACACCTGATAATTTTACAGAAATTTATTGCATACATATAACCTAAAATAAATAGATTCACTCAAACATTAGAATGAACTTTTGCACTTCTTTTCCATGTTATTCCCATTGGTTATTTATAGTATTTACAATACTTTGTGTATGGTAACGTATCGTTGATGGTTTCTTAAAAATGAAACCAGATACGGATTTTATTGTTCTAAAATCACCTCCTAATTCATTATATTCATTGTATTTTGTAATCACATTATACAATTACATAATTACAGACCTCTGATTACACCTATATGAATGAAATGGAATTTCACAAAATAACTGGCATTTCATTAAGATTAAATTCATTTTATTTACATGTTGTGAGAAAATTAGTGAAATCGACGTTCCCGTTTTACATTGGCTACAACTATAAATATAAGTTTGAAAAATTAGAGATATGGCATAAACCCATGTTTACAAATTTGGGATTTTGGAGGAATCTTCCAAGACGTTACCTATATTGCTACTTATGTGTCTGTGGGTACATGGGGTTTATACCAGTGTAAGGTGTACACCAGGTGCAATGCCGGAAATGTTTTCCTCACATTTTCAATAAACCGTAATTACTTCTGAACTAAATTTTTTTTAGGCCAGTAATAATACTATTTATCTTAATAGCAGGATTTACGTAAACTTGGCTTTCAGAATTATGACTGCAACTCAATGTATATTAATAAAGATTTCGATATTACTTACAATCTCTAGATGTTGAGAAAAGATTTGGGCCCCAAAGTGTGTGTACCATTATGAAGGTAACTAATTTTGTGTGAAGGAACTGAAACCTGTGGGTAGGGGGTATATTCACCTGACTAACACAGACAGTCCCCGAACTCGTAATAGAACTAACTACCCTCGCTCATGTGGTATACGAATCTTTTGATATATCCAGGGGATATTGTACGGTTAAACGCTTTTGTTAGGCATACTGGTATTGGCAAACAAATGATCATGTTTACAAAATATAATATTTAAAAGAATTAAGAAACATATGTACGTGCTGTAATGGTAACACTGAACTGACATCTATAGATATTTGATCAGTATCATTGTTGATTTGATTAAACAAATAGGCCTTTGTCTATCAAAGACAAAATAGATTGTTATAATATAAAACCTAAACTGATGCTTGTTGATCAATAACTTGAGATACAGTACACGATTGGACTTTGGATAATTGTCAATCATGGCGTCATAAAGTACATAAATTATAATAAAGCAAAAGTTGCCTTGAATGCCTACAAAATTCAGCTGAAATTATTATTGTTTCTATCGCATATTGATTTTTATTTTTAATTTTGTCCAATAATTTTAAAAAGTGGTTGTTATGACGTCATTCGGCGCTTCAAAATGATCACGTGGATTTTTCACGAACAATTGCAATCCGTATTCCGTATAGCGTTGCATGAAATGCTGAGGCAAGTTGGTAACAAAACATGCCCGCCAAGCGAGACAACGTATCATGTGCATTTCTGGACAAAAAAATTTATTTAGCGAAAACCTTTGCTAATAGATGGGCGACGTACTACTTGGGTGCATCACCAGTTGACCATACTAGATCGTGGATAAATTCCGACATAGAGGGGATGTCATTTTTGGATTTACCTTACACAATAGAATTAAAAGGAATACTTAATAAGGGATGGAAAAAGTTCTTTCAAAGTGTGATATAACATATTATACTCTTCGTGAAGACCAAACATATATGTTCCAAACAACTTACATGAATTTATATACCTTATATAAATTGTTCAGGTAAGATTAAGTAAAACACTTCAAACAGGAATGATAAAATTCATACTTACTCTGATTCGACAATTTCGTTATCCAACGCTAAGAATACGCAGTTGACAACAATTGTTAACATGACAAAATAGTCAAAAAATCTGACAAAATGAAATTGTTAAGGGTTTTTAACATGACGAAGTTTCGTATAAGTTACTTGCGTTGAAGTATAATGTTTATCCATCATTTCCGATTCACAAAAATAAATCATGTTATGGAAACATTCTTGATTGACTTTTATTTCAATTTTAGACGGGTGGTAAGTTGGTTACGACTTACGAGTCGAATGGCATAACGATTAGGTTATTAGAAATAACCTAATTGCCTAGACTTTAACTATGTAGACAAAGTTGTCATTCCCGACAGTTTCAAGTCGAAACGTCTGGCTGATGTGAATTGCTTTTTTAATTAAAAGTTGCATTTTAAATAAAAACTTGTATAAAGGATACTGGTTGACGGCAATGCGAATTGCTAATCTTCTAATCGGGTTGAAAGGTGAAAAGATGAAACATGATCCCGATGCTGAGAATCGATATATATACATGCTGGAGAATCTTTCAGTTGCGACACAGAAAGTCTGAAAAACAGAAAAAATTCACTTCAATGAATGTGTTAAATTTTAAAAATCAAATATTTATAATTTAGCAATGATATCAGAAACAACAATTTTCATTATTTATTTATTTTTTGAGATATATAGGCGAGTATTCGGTAAGTCCCGAACCATGATATTGTTACGTAGATAAATCACAATTTTGTTCCATGCAAATTAGAAGAAATACATGTTCTTAAAGTGGTATTTTGATTATTGCACAATATTATTTTAAACAAAGAAATAAAAAAAAAACTCTGAACAAAAAAAGTAAACCACTTTACTTAGTTATTGAATTGGTTGGGGTTCTGGATTGGTCGAGAAAAAGTTGAAAGGTTGATGATAAATATTGTATTGTATTGAAAAAATATTGCTGTACAGTCACAGAGTTTGATAGTTTTATGTTGATATTCGAGTCAGAGTCCTAGCCATACCTCAAATTCCCCGGGATTGGAGGTTAGGGCCAATGTTTTTTAATTACGGTTAGAACTAATGGTTTTGTCAATTTGTTACTGGAGCTGGAGTCGGGAGTTTTATGATCAGAGCTAAAAATGATCTAATCTCTGATTTTCGAAAATGAGTAAGGAATTGGAAAAAAAATCTCGTGGATTCCGAGTTATATATAACATATTATATGATGATTGTGCGGACAAAACAATTATACCTCATACGACATATTGTGTGATTTCAAGACTGATCAATACTTGAACCCACGAATTCTAACCTGCGAGTTCTAACTTGCCTCCAGACCATCGCGCCGTTCAATATAAGGGTGAATGCCATAAAATGATTCATTGAATTGATTATTCATGGATGTATAAATAGCCATTTTACTTCATAATTAGACTGGGAATGAATTATCCTATCAGGATCGTTGATAACATCGCTATTTTCCCCTTTGTTAAAACTTTTTGCCCCAGTGATCAAGCCCAATGACGCTCGTGACGGAATAGAATGCAATGTAGTTTTGCTTGAGAAAATACTAGCACTTACCTATCTCCGTGGGAATCGATATGTAATACAGTATAAACAAAATATGGGGGAAAGCATCCTTAGAAACCACCAAAAACCAATATCGAAAATATGAATAATTTAGTTAACGTTGCGTTTGTTTCTTTGTTTCGAAGAACTTGCCGAATTTACTGTTTATAGTTCACACAAATATCTGTCAGATTTAGATTTTTAATACAAAGTTGTATGCTAACCGAGAGTGTACACTGATGTGTGTGTTCATCATCTACATCAGTCTACACTTATTGACCTATTTATATTTTGCATCACAATTTTTAAATCATCTGAATATTTCGTCCGAGACCGCTGGAGCAAAAATACGTTTAGCCAATAGAATATAGATGAAACTGAAAAGAGCCATGGCCAACAGTTATGATTAATGTATCACATGACCCAATTTCTATAATTTGTTTTACTTTGATTAAGTCGTCAAATATATCGTCTGGCATTGATGAAATTCGATCGATGCCGCTGAACGGTTGAGTGATGATGATGGGTATACATACTCAGAAACATTTTTCAAAACGTTTCTCAGGGACAAAAACTGTGCTTATAAAAAGACTCAATATTGCTTTGTTACACAAAACACAGGTGATCGAACAAATGACATCGTCGTAAGACGTCCTTCATCTGATATTCTATGATAAGATATTAGAAACATAAACGCTGGAAAGGGTTTTGCATATATATAATTCATCGACGTCGTTAAACACAGAATAAATTCACCCGGTATCTTTACCCAGACGCCAAGAGACATTAACATCGCACCACGTTTCATGTTCAATAAAACAAAAAGACGGGGAAGGGAAACTCTGGTAGATTTGTTGCCTAGAAAGAGCTTATATTTCGATAATGAAGGTTGTTGCATTGAAAAAAATTAACTGTGTATACACAAAAAATTTGAATTAAAAAAAGCAGGAAGGTGATTTTCTTTTTTGACTAATATATATTATTGATGAACGGTAACGAATTCCACGTACGGACGCCACGTCAACTCAACGCAAACGTCACTTCGTAACCGCACGCAATCACATTACGTCGTAGACATGCTTTAAAATTTCAACCATCAAATCTTTTCAATCAATTATAGATCACGAGATGGGGTATATGTTTATCATTGATCCACAGTCGAGCAGTACTAAACTATCAATGACAACGCACTTTTTCATTGAAACTACTATAATTAAATGGATTTTAAAAAAGAAATCACATTGTTAATCGAGTAAGAAAAACTGAGATCAACCAGAAGCTACAGTCGTTTGCCCGCAAATTATCAAATTGCTTCACTGTCAGTTGAGGGAATTACTTTGATTTGAGGGTACAATTCATTACCGTTAGTGCCATTCCAAAATTAGTTTTTTGAAACCTAGGATAAACAACTTCCGCGAGCCACATTTTTTGAAAATTAATGAATACAACGTTAAAATATAATATAAATTCAGTGCTAAAAAAAAGTTAACTCTATAACAGTATTCTGATTCTTCGATGGAAGAAATCATGTAATATTAGGATGGATATTTCCAATTTTTTTATAAGTATGAAGTATTGCGTATATTTATCCACGTTAGTGATCCTTAGTAATAAGATAAACTCTAACGAAATATTGTTTGAAAAAACGTTCCAGTTCTCAAGGAAAAAGACTTTCTTTGACCAAAAAAAAAAAAAAACACAGAAAGTTATAATGCCTGTGACCTTCAACGGGTACATACTGACAGGCGTTCTTGTGTTTGACGGACTGTACTAAAGAAATAGAAACTAACAGACCATATATTGGTTTCGTATATCAAATTTCTGGACGAACTCCCAATCTTTACCTTTTATAAGTATTAATTATATATATATATATATATCGGGAAATCTGAGATATCAAATGCATTCGATCATGAATATTTATAACTTTTGTGAACTTTTCAAAATAATTTAGGAAATATATCTTAAAGGATCTTGAAATCCAAAGTGTTTGTTCTCCACAAGATAAATCATATCTTGGAAACCGTACTGCGCAAAGGAAAGTCAGTAAAATTAAATAGAAAAAAAGTTTTGACAAAAGTAACTTGGAAAAATTTGATAAATTTACAAACAGGCTAGATATACAGTAACAAAAACTAATAAAGAATCACATTTAAACAACACATTTTCTAATGAGAACGTAAGCAATAGGCACTATTTACGTCGCTCTGAGGAGTATTTGAGGGCAACAAATTTTAGGTAAATTATTGGAAATCAAACTCGAAGAATTTAGTTAGCAACGATGAAAATACATACAGTTCTACTAAATTTGATCTCAACTTACCTCTTCACCCCGCTCTTTATAGTATGGATCGAGATCTTCGATTGGTCGACCAAGAAGTCGATCAGGACACTTTCCATAATACTGCGGTAATACTTCGCCGTCACAAAGCGTTGGATCCGGTCCGGTTTCATCGCCCTGTGTGTCTGTTGCAGCTGAAGAATTTTAAAACATGGCTTTGTATGACTTCTTATTCCATTTTATGTGAAATACTTTCAGATAATTTTTAATTGGTACCACTTTGTTGCACTGTGTCGATGTGAATTACATATAAATGATCACGCGAACAGTTGGGATTCAACTTTCTACATATACGTCCATAAGATAAATAATGATGTATGAGGTTTTTTTCACGTAAAGGAACAACAATTTTAATTTTGTGTTGAAATCTGATAGTTTGAAGCAAATAATTTTTCTATTTGTAGTGGATATTTGTGCTATTCGAATTGACAACATTCCTATATATATTATAGCTTGATAAAGTCTCATAAATGTTATTTCTTTGGTTTATCTTACAGGAAACACGTGCCGATTTTCCGAAACAATAACTGGCCCAGTTTTTCTTATTGACTTTATGGGTCAAACTTACAGGTATCACGTATTAGTATTGAGTTCAATATACCTTATTTGTTACTATGATTGAGAATCCTATTACTACTTAAATCGATTTGGTTGATAATTGTCAACCTATAATGTTACATGTGTATCTCTATGAACACGAAAAACCGACTCCCACATCGTGGCCATAAGGAAATACACTCCTGGTGGAATTACATATCTTCTACATTACCGCTACATACACCGAATCAGCAAAATGCAATTAATGTTTTTGCAATCATTCGTTTGAAAACGTAGCATTATGTCAACACCGTTTTGATACGAACCGGGTTAGAAAGACTAAAGAAAGCAGATAACCCAAGTGTTTGGATGTTTTTTATTCAGAGTGTTATAATATTATACATTACCGTCGCTCTGATTCTTTTTATTCAGTTCAGCAGCTTTGAGCTTTTGTTGTTTCTTTCTTTCAGCATTTCGTCTTAACTCATCAAATGTGTCGATCGTAAATAACTTGTATTCGCTTTCTAGTTCATTCTCCATTTTTGATGATGAATTTCCGGGTATGGCACAATGTTATTACTCAGTAATAATATATGCTACAACCATGTCGAAGGCTTGCTTCGGAATTTTGACCTGTTACCGACAACGAAGTATAGCAGATATCGGCATACTTAGTCTGAGATGAAATTATATTTTCCAAAATTTTTGTAACTCCAAAACAGTAAAATAAATCTTTGTAGATACGAATTCCAGAAGAAGGCGTTTTGGATGTTATATACCCAAGTAATTTTAAGTATTAGAATCTTTGAATGAAATATATAAATGAGGCAAAACATTGGATGAGTATGCAAAAAAATAACGGACTGGCATATTGTTTGTTTTGGGGGAGATTTATATAGATTTTGACTCGCCATGGCTCAAAAAATTATCACAAAATTACATGTAAGTTATTGCGTTACGATGGTGACACTGACGGTGAATTAGATGCTGAATGACGTAATACCTGGACCCTTTCAACTTCGAGTGGATAAGGTTCATCCGTACGGATAACAATCTCACGGAATATAAAATTTCATACCATAAATCTACCAGCGAACCGAAAGCCAACCGGTTATACTAACGAACAAGGACAAAAATTATAATAAACACAAGTCTTTGTAAATATCATCAAAATGGCAATTTTTCGTCAGCGAGAAGATTTTTGAGTGTTTTCCAAAGAATACTGCATTTTTCTGACTGACCCGTGGTGCCACGTTACAGTAATTATTTGGGTTTGGAATTATATGACGTGCTTATAACCGAATACCTTGATATATACAATAAGGTACGGGGTTGCAAAGGTTACTTTGAACAAAATATTGGTCGAAAACATTCTAGTTGAGTATGGAGACAAGAACTTTTGTCACGGATGAATGAGGGGTTTACAAATATGTGGTCAGTAGTGTAGACAACACCACTTCAAATTTACCACCCATCCAGGTTAATATTCGCAAGGGAACGCCATTCGTGAGATGTTTCATCCTGAGGCCTCTTTTCACAAACTGTGATGTTATTACGGGTTGCTTTTATACTATCTACACTTCTATTTTAAGTATGCGTCTCCAACTCCGTATACCAAAAGGTTTGTACTTGCTTTAGTAAATCTTTACTTCATCATACAGCTCAAGTAGTCATATTAACTGGAAGTGTAATAGTAAACTTCAAAAATATTCACCACATTACATTTGAAACATAGATTCATAGAAATCTATAAATTAAAATTACACAACACATAACGAGTAGGTGCACATCAGAGAAGCTGCAATTAAATATATATGAAAACCTGTAATTGTGAGATATCATCCAGCCATAACATATGTGACCTTTTTCATACTCGGATAAGCGTGGATCATCGGGAAGAACGTCAACATGGCGCGATATATCCATGGACGCTTTCTGACGCACTTTATATTTGGGATTAAGGTGAAAATAATACATTGTCGACTTTTAATCCTAGTATTACTCGTTACTGGCCTCGTTCGTGTAGTTTTACCTGTTTTCAAGCGACAATCGAGCCAACAAAATGTGATAAATCTATATTCAATCAATACACTACGACAATTTAAACAGCGTTGTCAGTTGCGCATCTCTTCTACAGTGAACTTATATATTCAACTCATTGGTGTGCATGGGTAACCATCTAAACGTCATTTGATACTACCAAGTAGCAAGCCCTAACTCAATGTATTTGGCCAAGTCCAAATTGCTTCGTTAAAAGCAATTACCTGTAATTTGCAACTTTTATATTCTGTAGCATAGACGGCTCAATACAGGCCCTTCCACATTACACAACATACTATGCACCTCACAAAAACTGCGTACATGATATCTTACCATATTATATACTACAGATAAAATAAAAAGTGCGCCTGAAATCTCGTTTTATTTATTATATTTTGTCTCCAAAACTAATGTCTTTCTGCAATTGAAACATAATACATTTGAATATATATAATACATACCACAGTTGAAATATTGGAAATCATAGTCTAAATGCGCCTTGAATACGCCTAGCTATACGGTAGGAAATAACGTCATATTTCAGTACAAAACATTAACGTTTCCAAACGGATCAATTTATTCTGTGTTACTATATTTTAAATAAAAAATATTAGAATTCGCATTATTGCAAAAAATTCATGCATTTAAACATTTGAATTGGGTTATCCGTGGATTCTAATATCACGAATACAGTAAACTAATTTAAGCTTATGGTAGTATATTATTAAGATTATTATATTAAATAAATTAAAAAAATATTAACAATACAGAAAACTGAAAATTTAAACAAAAACAATGTATCCTTGCAATTAATTTGTAATTTGTGAAAATACGTCAAAACTGCTTGAATAATTGGCTTTAAAAATAAAAAAAACTTTGGTGAAGAAATCTTTCGCGTGTTTGTATAAAATTCGTTATATTTTTGTATGATATGATCGTCAGTTTGCCCGCGATTTTGATGATTATCAAATACCATGCGAATTTAATTGTTTGTACGTTTATATATTTCTCAATTTAACCTTTGAAAAGTGGTAGGTCGCTGAGATGTCAGGAAAATTACAGCAGCGGCTATCAGGCTTATTTCAAAATATCATCAAAAATGTATGTTATATATAAAAAAAATATGAGCACTTGGCCTTTTAGACAAAAACAGAGATGCATAAAGCGGTCGGTGAGATTTAATTTTACTTTCACAATTTTACAGTCCGGTTCAATGATATATTCTTCACACATGAAAATAGTGACATGTGGTCATGTACTAAGTCAGCTCAATGTATTCAGTATTTAAATCCATTTTCATGCTTTTCAATTTATATCTTTCCCGGTACGCAATTTGATATCTAAATGTAATAATTTAATTAAAGTTGTTCGCCTTGAGGAATTTGTTACAACTATCGTAAAATCGAGTGGAAATATCCAATTTTGTTACCTAATTTTCTCATTAAACTTTCATGCAGAACGAATTACAATTCAATAAAAACGATGTGAACATAAATCACTGGTTTAAAGATTGATTCTTTCCCTAACCAGGCAAGATCTACATAAGATATGTCTCATGACATGAGTGGTTTAAGTCGGTAATTACTGCCCTACTTTTCTAACACTTATGGCGACTGTTAATGGTAATTATTCGCTTAGCCCTTTTTGTCCGTGACTTCTCTGGCAATATTTTCATCGCAATATCTGTTGCGCACGTTATCTCTTTCTCTCTAATAAATTTGATATCTATCTTCGTTAGTACCAACACCTAAAACTGTTAATGCTTATACTTGACGAAATGGACGGTGAAACAAAAGCTTTTGTTTCTCTCAAAATAAATCCACTAACTCTCAGCTCGCCTTCCAATATGATCATTGAAATTTAATCTATGCCATATAAATTTTCAAGTTTGAGTTCGATCCTGAACGTTACCTTGAGACGCATTAACATTTACTGAGTTATTAAATAGATCAACAAGCGAGTTATATTTGCCGCATTATCCAATCAAAACATCGACCAAAACGGCCTAGTTGCGATTAATAACTGTTTTATCGGTTGACAGAAAGTCCCCAGAGCCACGCGACAGAATTATAATAATTACAATCAATTCTTTATATATTGATACAAAGCTTTCCCAAAATCGAACGTTATTTATCTGTGCTCCTGACTAGCGTGCTTATGATTAGATTTAGATATTGCATTTCGTATCTGGGAGTTATATTATTACGGCACACGAGCGATCGAATATATTTTTGCAATGGGGCTTCATTCATTCCCACAGGTACTCGTTATTTCTGACTTAAAATATAAGGCATACTCCAAATCGATTTGATTTACGCACAAGCGAATGCTTTTCACCACACCGTATCAAGCGCATTCACGTTTAAAGTACACTCATATTCACAAAACAAGCTTGAATTTGCGGCTTTTGTCCAAAGCAAACCATGTGGCCCACTGCTATTATTATTGAATACGTATCCCTAATGTCTATAATTACATCAAACATTTTAATCTCGCTCGAAGTTATATGCCTCTTCCGTCTCCAATTATAAGTTTTTAAAAAAGTTTCCTGAGCGTATTGCTTTCTAATTATGCTTTCAAAATAACCAAACATGATAATTATGTTATCTATCTTTGATTGCTGGACATATGCTATTACGATGAGGCGATTGATCACAAAGCATCAAGACGCAATGTGCTGAAGTATACACGGTATAGTTTGTTAACAAAAACGTGACCTTGCCTATTGACAATATATTGGACATTGCCCGTTTTGTTTCTGCATATTTAATCTTTAATCCATTTTCAACATATTATCTTGTACATATTCATAAGAAATATTACGAGAAATAAATTTTTACAATTTTACAACGCGTGTTTGTACGGGAAAAAACAATTCGCCCGATAAATAAGTCTGCATCACGATTTGAAATATTTATGACCAGAAGGCGTTTTCATGGCTACCCGCTCGCCTGTTGTCAAATACAGATGGAAAAGAATGCATATTAAACAACGTTTCTAATGCAAATAATATCAGAAACTGGAATGGCTTCTTCCGCGAGAGGAGATTAATCCAATAAACTACACACGAGACCTGCATATCTCAAGAGATTATAATTCTTAATCCGGATTATTAAGTTTTATCACCATCATTTCCACACATCTTTTGGAAATCTGATGTATATATAGTCGTTTTCGTATCGAAACTTTCGATATTGTATGCTAAACTAATATTTAGTAGTTCGGTTAGGAATGACCAAAAGTTCAAAAATACTTGACATATGACGTTATTGAAATTAACACTTTTCAAATATTATTTCAGTATTGTACTGAACGCCCCTCCATGAAGAGTTTTCTTGTGATACATAATCAATTTTTACAAAAAAAGTTTTATTCCCAAAGACTCAACCGTTATGAAAATTTGACATCATAGGCCTCTGAGCAATTGTGGTGGTCGGCGACTGACAACTTCACTAACTCAATATACAATTCTGATAATGTTTCCTGAACAAATTCAATTAACGCGTTTGCCATTAAACATATAAAACAAATACAAAGTCGTATAAAAACAAAATTTTGAATTGATCCTTTCCAAACATAGGCGCCAGACAATAATAATGCACATTCTAGGAATAATTTGTCACCAAAAAACACCTTAATGCAAGGTAACAACGTATAAACAAAACAGAAGTCTATTCAACTAATTTTTCATTTGAATCTCCGTAAGAACCAGAAAACTTAGAATAAACTATCAATCTGTAGTATCGTCTATTGTTCAAAT